TTTTTTTTTTTTTTTTTGGAGTCAAAAGGGTCGCGCCGCAGGCGCCGGCCACCAGTTTAGAGTACCTACTAGCACAGGGCTCGAAACTGGTCTTTACTGCTAATTAAAAGAGAGTCCATCTGGTTGCGTGAGCAGTTGTCGTCGTAAGTTCCTCGCGTGCCGCCGAAGCGGGCTTGACGTGCGTGCTGGTCGGTGTGGGTCCATGTGTGCCGTAGGTGGCGTCGTCTCGGCGTGTTCGCAAGTCGGCTCAGGCGTGGCATCCCGCCTACGCTGAGTCTTGTTCCTCGTCCCGCTCCTTCCCGTCCTTCTCCTTCCCCATCCTCCTCCTCCTCTCCGTCTCCGTCATCATCCCGAACCACCTCAAGAACCGATCCATCTCCGTGACCACTCCCTCGTCGGTCTCCTCCTCCTGATCCCCCTCGTCGCCGCCTGCACCATCTTCCTCCTGTTCCTCGTCCTCCTCAAAATCCTCCGCCTCGTCCCCATTTCCTCGCTCCTTGCCAAATCCATTCCTCCCCTCTCTCCCACCGCTCGTACCATCCTCCGGCCTCCCACCATCGTCGTCCCGTTTCCCTCGTATTCGCCCTGTATCCCGTACATACGCCATAAGCGCCGCAATGCCTTTGTCGTCTGTCAGCAGGAAGGTGCGGTTGCGCCACCGTTTCCCTGCCGCCGCCTTCAGCCGCCTTCGCTCGGATTGCCGTGCAGGGCACTCGTAAATGAAGTGCGCGACCGTCTCATCGGCCTCCTCGCAAGCGGTACAGGTTGGTGATGGGGCGCAATTGATGCGATGGAGGTGTGCATTGAGCGGCACATGGCCAGAACGAAGCTGGAATAGCAGTGTGCTGTCCCTGCGCGATAGGCCTGAGGTAGACTGGAGATGGCGCTTCGACGTCGCATCTGGCGCCCAGTCTCGATGACGTGCGTATCGCGGCGACAACTGCCATTCCTCCTGCCAGCGTGCCTTGAGACGTGCCGCGTATTCTTGGCGCGCGGCTGGCACGCTCAGGCGGGGTTTTGCATGGAGGCAAGCGGGAAGTTCGCTAGCGGCGCTCTCATCGCCCTCCGCGGCGAGCTTGGCTTGGCCATCGACGAACTCGTTGAGCTCCGCGTCGTCATGCCCCGAGATCCAGTAAATGCCGAGTGAGAAGGGGTACCGGCGAATCTGAATAAGGCGGTAAGCTAGGTCCCGGAAACGGTCAAGCAAAGAGTGGCCGGGCTTAGCCTTGTGTAGGTGCTTCGTCGCCCGAATGACGGCCTGGTTGTCGAGGCTAATGCTCGACGGCCGCGATGCCGTCGCTGCATCTTCAGTGAGCAACAGGTGGGCACCCAGGATGATCCCCACGGTTTCCGCTTCGTATACTGTATGTTCGGTGAGTGGTCCCAAGCGATAGCGGAGAACGCGCCGCTCGGTGTGTACGCCGTCCGTTCTCACTAAGACCGCCGCCGCTCCTGCATGTCCTTCATACCCGGATCCATCCGTGTACACCCGTACGACTGACGGCATCTCCTTGTCCATATCGTGCGATTCCTCTCTCGTCTCGGCGATGTGTGTGGCGTAGGGCGTCTCCATTAGTGCGGGGTTGTAGCGCATAGGCGTTATATCCTCCAGCCGGTCAGGTGTCAGTTCCGGGAAGAGATGGTAGAGGTATTGGAGTGGGCTGCGATGCCGAGGTGGGAAGAGCGCTGCCGCGCGACGCGCCACACAATGTAGCGGGTGGTTGACTGGTGTGGCGGAGATGCGTGAAAGCGCCCGGTAGCACAGCTTCGCGACTAGGAGCCGCATTGGTAGCAGATTGGCTGAGATATCAAGTAGGTCGTTCGGCGACGAGCGCATGCCGCCTGTGATCGTCAGTGCCGCAATACGCTGGACCTTGCAAAGCCCTGCCATGACACCGACTGATCCTCGGCGTCGGGAGAGCCACGGGTCTGCGCACGGGATGTCCGCCGGGAGCGGTAAGCCCCAAACGTCGACCGCGTATAGCATTTTCGGGATAACAACTCCGATGTAGATACGCCGAACGAACTTCGGGCGTACTCCATAATGCATACGGGCTAGACGACGTACCTGGAGGGCGTAGTCGCGCCCTTTGTCCACCGCCGTCTTCGCATGTTCGGACCATGAAAGCCGGTCATCCCATATGACGCCTAAAAAGCGGTGAGTGTGCACGGGCTTGATGGTAAGCCCGCCCATCTGTAGTGGCGGCCGCGCCAATCGTCGTGGTGGTGGTCGCTTGTGCTGGGTGGGCGTCCCGGGCTCGTTGCGCTTGCGCTTCGGGTGGGGATCGGAGGGTTGACCTTCGGGTGGTGATGGCGCCTTCGAGAAGTTCATGAGCTTGAATTTGCTGGGCTCGAACTTCGAGAAGTGACTTGTGGCCCAGTCCCGAGCGCCACCCGGCCGTAAATACATGTGCCGCAGTTTCCTGTGCGTGAGCGTAAAATCATCGCCAATGGCCACGAGGGCCGAGTCGTCGACGAAGCCTAGCGCCCTCTCTCGGTCATCCATCGGGATCTGCAGGAGGCCGGCTCCGTAAAAGAGGTATAGTATCAGCGACATTGGGTCGCCCTGAGGTATGCCATTCCGCACGTCGAAGGGCTCCGATTCGAACCCATCAAACTTCAATTGAGTCTGTCGGCCGTCGAGTATTCGTGCCACAAAGTCGACAATGTACCGCGGAACGCGCCGCATGCGCAGATCATGTAGTAGGACTTCCGGCACAGCATTGGGAAAAGCCCCTTCGATGTCCAGGAAGAGAACCGAGACCACTTTCCCTTGCGCCCACGCCGTTGTTATGATGTCCGTGAGGTAGTGCATAGAGTCCGTTGTCGCTCGACCCGGGCGGCCGCCGAATTGGGTGTGCGGTAAAAGGTCAAACTCCTCGCATAAGAACGTGAGCCGTTCTGTAACGATGGCCGTGAGTACCTTGGCCAACGTGTTCAGCAGTGCAATCGGTCGGTATGCTTTCGTGATGGTGTAGCTCGGTTTACCAGGTTTCCGTAGTACGATTGTGGTGAACTCGCGCCAGGGGCCATAGTAAAAGTCGTATTGCAGAATGGCGTTGTAGACGGGGACGAGATGTGGTGCGATGAGGTCAGCGCACTTCGTGAGCACGATGTTCTGTATACCATCGGGCCCTGGTGCCTTATATGGGCTAAGGCGTGCCAGGTGACGCAGGACCGTGTCTTCGTCGAGCGGCGTGAAGTCTCCTACTGGTGTCGGGTAGACCGGATCGGGTGGCAGGTTGGCGTCGTCAGGTGGCTCAGGAAAGAACGACTGTGCTAGCCACTCGCTCTTGACAATGTTGGTTGCGGCGGAGCTCGTGACGTTACCAGCTTCATCCTTTCGTACTAGTGTCGGTATAGTTGTCGTCCCGCCGTCAGTACCTTGAGAGCCCGCAAACTTATTCGCCTTCCAGACGTCCTCCTCGCACACAGAGTCGAGCCAGCTTTCCCAGTGAGTTTTCTTAGCAAAACGAATAGCCCTGGCGTACTCCTTGTGGAGGAGTCGGCGCTCGAGATGAGCCGAGTGCCCTGGTGTCCCACGCCAACGATAAGACTCGCGATCGGCTGTATAATACCGTTTGCGCATCGCCGTCAGCTCGCTGGTCCACCAAGCCTTACAATGCGGGCGGTCCTTTGAGAGCGGGACCTTCTCAGCAATAGTATCCTGTATGGCTTTGGTTAGAGCGTGAATGATGGTGTCTAGTTGTTCCTGTGACGTGATCTCCTCCGGATCGGGCAGTTCGTCGATTCTTGTTGTGAGAAATTCTCGGAAAGCCTCCCAGTTCGTGAGCCTGATGTTGCGGGTGGGCGCAGGGCGTCGTGTCTCCACTGGTATATCAAGAACGGTGCAGATAGGTACGTGGTCGGTGCGTGGGCCACGGTTTCCAGGGTCCGTGTCACAGGATGTAAGAGCGTCGAGAAGGCCGGGTGAGCACCAGACGTTGTCTGTTCGGTGCCACTGTTTCGTGCGATTGAGCTGGAGGGTGGGTATGCCAGCCGGTAGTGCCATAGTCATGTTGAAATCCGCCGTCAGAGTGAGTAGAATCTCAGCCTCGCGCGTCGCGCGCTTGCTGAACAGCTGCGTGTGCGCATGGTCGTCCCAGAAGCGGTGATGTCGGTTAAAGTCGCCTAGCCAGATCATGTGCGAGCGGTCGTCAGGAAGAATGCGGTCACGGTTGTCCTGGATGAATGCTCTCAGCTGGTGAATGGTCTCGGAGTCGTCACAGCTATTGTAGATGTTGAATATAGTCAGCCGGCCAAAATCGCCAGTGAGCTGAATAGCCGTGACATCCCGACCCGGGAACGGTAGCATCTCATACGCGTCCGTAGAGATTATCTTGTTGACGAGGATGACAGATCGTGCTGGGTTCTCATGGTCGAAATCATAACCGTGCGGGTACTCAGTGTGGAAGTCGGGTGTCGCGCGTGTGAGGCCGCGAGAGTCGATATAAGGCTCCTGCAGGAAAAGGATGTCGTACAGTTGCTGGGGATTCCTGTTGATCAGCGCCTGCTGGGCGATGGGGTTCTTGTTGAGGTTGTGTTGGAAGATCCTCAAGTTTCGCGTTCGCGTCGGGTCGACTGGCTCAGTGTGCGTTGCCAACGGGAGTGGAAGCAGGTGGAGTCGACGTAGCCGAGGTCTCCTGAGATGCATTCAGAGTTGCGTCGAGATCGTTACTGACAGATTTGCGGCGTTCAGCTTGGTTGCCGGACCCTCGTGCGGGTAGCACAGTCGTTTGGCCGAGTGTAGATCTCCGATAGAGCGTGGAGTACGGGCGTTGACTACGTGGCATTCGGTATGAGCTGAAGGGTGCTCCCGGTTCAACCATGGCCTCGAGCGTCCAGGCCTCTTCGGTGGGAAAGAACACCCGACAGTTCTCTGGGTGGCGGCCGTCGTAGATGGCACAGCGCCGGAGGAAGGAGGGGCACGCGCGGTCGCGGCTCGAGTGGGAGGTTGATTTGCACGAGACACAGTACTTCGTGCCCGAGCGCGGGCACGACACCGTGCGATGCGTCTCTCCACATATGCCGCATGTATCATGACTTTGGTGGCATGTCTTGACGACGTGGCCCGGGATCTGACACTTCGCGCAACGTGGGGGTTCGTACTTCTGGCGCCAGCACTGCGACCAGTGTCCGCAGACTGTCACGCCGCCCAGAATCGTGCAATTCGCCGCCTTTGGTTCATTGAGCGTCAGCATCAAGTTTGCGTGGCGCTGATCTGGATCCCGAAGTCGCTCGGGTTTAATCCACTGAGCAGCTTCGATACAGCCAGGTGGCAACTCGTTCAGTTCCTCGATCTCACGCAGGGCATCTGGGCTGCCCGTCGCAAATGTCGTTGGCACGATGTGGGCGACCACCTTGTATTTCCGCCCGACCGCACTCATGTGGTACCGCAGATGATGCTCCAGCGCCTCGCTACCTTCTGCGGACTTGATCCACTTTGCCGCCGCAGGCGATGGGAAGTCCACGAGGATGTCGACCTTGAGACGACGAGCGCGTAGCGGGAGCAAGGCACAGCCCGCTTTCTTTTCAAGTTCGCCATCTCGCACAGCCGCGCGGAAGCGGTCCGCAATGATGACATCCGGCCCGCTGGTTGGTACGACCTCGATGTTCTCGGGCGGGGCAGTCAGGTGCGGTCTGAACAGCACTTGGCTGTCACGGATGTACTCTGCATTCCTGGCGCTAAGTTCGCGCGTGTTGGGGACATCGACGAAAGCGCCGAATGGGGTCTCAGTAGCACCGTCTGGGAGGGGGGCCTTGTTGCGGGGAGCCTGTACTTCGCCCGTGATCTTCTCCTGAAGCCCTTCGACACAGTCCTCGAGGCGGCCCATGCCCTCCTTATAAATCGTCTCTATCCGCCGCTCCTGTTCGACCAGGAGATTAAGGACATGGTCTTGCTGATCGGTCGCCAAGATGTCCAGTAGTTCCGCCACAGTTGTAGCGAGCTTGCACATAAGTTCCTTTGTAGTACGGCTCGGTAGCTCGGGAAAGCGTCGCAGAGCAGAGGTCAGAGAGCCCATAGTAAGCCGCGGTTCATCATTCTCCATAACCTTATTCTCTTTCAGAAACTTGCACGCGCGTAGAACGCGCGCCGCAGCAGGGCGGGCCGAGCCGGGCGTCGCTGCGGTTGAAGTCGCCGCGTGGCCAGTAGGTGCACTGCCAGGAGTAGCTAGTCCGTTCGTTCCGAGTGAAGACCGGGGCGTACGGGAGCCGTTGTCGCCAGAATTATTATGACCAGTGTTGAGGCCAGTTCCAGTAGTGTAAACACCGCCGTTACGTTGAGCCATAGCAGCGCGCTGCTGTTGGCTCGGGCGCGAGTCAGTCCGTTTTGTCGGGGTGGACGTCTTCGAGCCGCCAGCTACTCTAGCTGGAGATACGAGACCACTGTCGGTCCGAATTGCTTCGGACATACTCCTGTAGATCCCTGCTTGTCAGTAAGAACCTTCGGAAGGTACGTACTGTGTTCGGATAGCGTGGGAAAAACGGAGATGATGGTGGTTCATTGGCCGCGAGGTTCATCGGCGCCTTCGAGAAGTGGGCAATGGTCGACCCATATCGGGGCACATGAAGTGCAGTTTGAAACCGTGGCAGATGTAGATTATTGTAATACATATGATGTATCGACGTCAAATCCCTGCTCATAATCAAGAACGACGGAGATTTAGACAGAAACGAGACCTCGCATGGTCGGAGTGCCGTCATGTGCGCTTGGTAACCTTCTCCAATCGCTCGGGAGTGATCTCAAAGACCTCCGGTAAATCCGTATCAGCCCACGAGCCCCCTTGTATGAGCTTAACAAGACCTGGCGCGCACGTGAAGATTCGGGCCTACAGCATTTCTTTAGTCTCATGTCTGGCCATAGACGTGTGAATGCTCACCATTCCATGACCGTTATGTCCAGCGCACATCCACTGGCCGGGTTTACCAGGCACAGCGCCCACGTAAGGCAAACCGTCCGTAGTCTAAATACTCATCAGTCTTGGAGGAGCGCCTGGAGCGAAGTCCACGTACATTGCCGAGGATACCACTCCAAGCGTAGTCGTATCCTTCACCTGGCGCAAACGTGCCCCGCCTACGATCCCCAAGCATCAGCCAGTCCCCTTCAACATCTTTCGGCTCGACACACCATCCTTCGAAGTTATTCTCCGCGAAGTTGCGAACTTCGGCCGTCACGGGCTCAAAGTTTGACAACGAATCGTCGGTGCGCCTAACGGGGTCCTCGGCGACGTACTTGTACAAGTCCTTATAGCCGGGGTTGTCGCCGCCGAAGAGGATGACGCCGTCGGCCGTGCTGCGGGGGTTGATGGAGAAGATCGCGCCGTTAGGCAGGAGGACGCCGTATGAGTTCTGCAGAGCCTTTGAACCAGATAGCGCCTTGGGAGGTACAGCGCGATTGCACCTGGTGAATCGTGAGCAAAGGTCAAAATCAGGTCAAATGCTGCACGTACATGTGAGGCCGCGGCTGGACGGCAGCGGCGAACTCCGGTAAGAGCGCTGGGGAGTAGGCGTTTGTGGCATGCACAACAATGGGTGTTGTAATGGAACCGCGTTTTGTTTTCACGACCCACTGCCCCGCCTTGCGAGGGTCAGTGCTCGCCTCAATCGATTCAGCAGGCGTCCATGTTTGCAAGTTGAGTCCGCGGGCTAGGCAGGTCTTGATGATATGGGCAACGACCTTCCATGGGTAGAACGTCGCTGCATCCCAGGCATAAACGGAAACAGCGTTCTTGATACGAGAGCGCTATGAACAGAGTTAGTGCAGACACTGGCCAGAGTGGATTTTGGAACTACCTTGACGGCTTCTCCTCTATCAGTGATCACTTCAATCTTGTCGATGTTACCGCCCGCAGCCTTGAATGCCTCGAAGGTGGCCGCGGACTTCGCGGCGACCTCGTCCGTAGTAGTCACGTCAAGCTATCGGTAACATCTACAGTTAATCTATCCGAACGAGAATGCATCTACGACGGAGTAACTCACGGTCTTGCCGACCCAGAGGTCGCAGTCGACGTTGTGTTCGCGCACATATGCGACCACAGCCTCCCAGGTAGCTTGCTCATTGTCAAGGATCTAGAGCGTGTCATATGAGTAGCGTACGAGACCGTTGCGAAGACTATGCGTACTTTCAGTGCCTGTTCAGCGCCGAACTTCTTCGCGTAGTTCGAGTATCCTCTCCACTATAGCGGGTTGAGTACGGCCAAGCGGTCGTAAGATAGCTTGCATACCTGGTCGGGTTTACAGTGCCCAGCGTTCCTTCCAGTGGCACCGGAGCTGTAACCAAGAGTTAACGTCAAATTCTTGAGTCGTTGCAGAGGGAATGCACACCAGAGTTCCCGCGCCTCCAGCATTACGATGCTACGAGGCGGATCCGCACTCTCCAGGAGCTTCAGAGCAGTGACTGCACCAGACATCTATAGCGCGTCAGCCATCTCGTATCGTGTAGATTGCACAAGCGGGGAACGCACCCCAGAGCCTATGATGACAACGTCCGCAGTACCAGGTATAGCTTCGGTGGTGCGGTGGTCCAGTAACGGGTTTGCACGGACGTTCTGTAGCCACTGCGAGAGGGACATGCCCTCAGGGAGCGGGAACGCGTGCCTATTGGACTCTCCCGCCACACCAGGCGCGCCAGCTTCCTGGCCGACCGGCGGCAGGGCGTTGCCAGTGCCGCTCCATAGTCTCGAAAAGAAGCCACTCATGGTGGTCTGTGGTCAAATGTTGAGAAGCACGAGCGTGAGCAGGGGAGCAGATATAGGCGTTTAGGTTCTGGTGTAATGAGAGGGCCGCTGATAGGACCGTTGCTCGAGATAAGAAGTAGGTCTGGCTCGTGCCTCCGCTCACTGACACGGTACCCTCGGGTTTATACTTGCAAAGATCGGCCGAAGAGCGAGATACATATAAGGCATGATGTGCATTGAGGATGTGGATTCGATGTTGCCATTGTGCTCGCCAATGGTGGCAGGTGGTCAAGCGGCTTCCCGCGAGCGCGTCGCTTGATGCGCGGCGGGCCGAAGTTCGAACGGGGCGCGTATGAACACGTATGGGCGCTCATCCCATCTAAATCTCTCGGGATATTTCCAGTTGCACTTTCAGAGCGGTAGGCGCTAACATGATAAGACCCCATTTGTGCTGTAAAAGTACATGCAGAGGATGATAGCATCGACACCATGACTATTACTGCTCAGTAGAGGCCCATTGCTCAAATGCCCCTATGAACTTCGCCGCCCACTCATTGCTCAAGATGAGCTTGTTAACCTCATACTCCTTCCCAAAGCCCATCAAGAAGCTCTTGAACGTTGCCGCGAGCTGAAAGTCCGCAAAGACCGGTCTATCGCCCCCAAAGAAGATTTTCCCCTCGCCAGCATGTTTCTCGATCTCCCTGTGCACGTTCTCCACACCTGCACGCACGACCTCGAGTTGCGCGGCACGGGCGTCACCCGTGGGCACGACGGCTTCGAAGGGAGCGCCAAATTGCGCTTCGCGGGAGGTCTTGAAGTATGCCTGGTCCTTCTCGTCGATGATGGTGTTGAAGAAGTCGAGTAGAATGAGAGGGAAGACCGTGAATGCGAAAGGCTGGCGGACGTTCTTTTCAAACGCCTCTTGGGCTTCGCGGGTACCAGGAGGAAGGAGTTGAGGCGTATCCGGATACTACAAGCGAAGAAGTCAGTCCGCCTGACAATGTTCATGCCATGGCAGAGAGCGGTATTACTTGGGTATCAAGGTACTCCGCGATGCGGAGTGAATCTGAGATGCGCCGGCCGGTCTTTGGGTCAATGATCGAGGGCACAGTATAGAAGTCGCCTTCAAGAGGAGGGACGTCGAGAGCCTTGAGTGTGGGCTTTATGTCGATGAAGTTAAGGAACGTCGACTTGTAGGGAAGACCCTTGTAGTTCAGAGTGTAACTAACAAGACTATGAGTATGCATGGTCTTACACTCGTCTAGCTTAAAGACGTACCGAGTTTTCCAAGCGTTTGGGCTGCCGATGATACCGTTCCTGAGCGTGAGGTCGTAGAAAGTGATGGGCTCGGAAGACATGGCGGGTTTGCTTGTTGTGGGGCGAGCAGGGCCTGGTCCTTGGGAGGCTGACTGAGCAGAAGCGACTCTTTATACTGGTCCATGAGAAGAAATTCTCCGCTCTATTGATCGATGTTCCACGTTGTATCCTGCGTCAGTTTGTAAGCCAACATACTGCGTGACCCCGCCAAGCCTCTGCCATAGATAGTACGGCCTGATTGCCGTCCAAAGGTCAGCAAGATCCGCACAAAAGCTTGTGGAACCTGTGAGAATCGTAGAGCACCACCAATCTTCACGTCTCAGGGCCATATCTTAAACGATGCGCTGATAATTTGATGGCGAGCGAGAGCATAGGCACAGTGCAGCGGAAAAAGTGCATCATTAAGCAGTGCAAATATACGTGTAAAGAAGATAGAAAAGGCAACAGACGGCGGCCCATCACCGCTTGACCCAGGCGTACTATCAAAGCATGATCAGCGCGAGCAGAGAGCCACAGATGAAGACGGCTTACTTTCTTGCGGGCTTTGGGTTGACCGGGCTTCTTCCGCTCGACCATGCGCGGGTCGCGACGAAGAAGCTTGGCTGCAAATACACGTTAGCATGGCTGTCTTCTTCACTGATGGTAGAGTTATCACCTTTCCTGAGTGTCTCACGCATCTCAGGCTCATGCTCTGCGAGACCCTTCGCGACGGCCTGCATGACCGCACTAGCCTGCCCAGAGGTGCCGCCGCCTCGGCTGATGGCAAAAATGTTATATGCACCAAGCACACCTGCTAACCTCAACGGACGAAGTACACGCTCACGTTCCGCTGCCTGAACGAACGTCTCGCGCAGTGGCCGGCCGTTAACAATGACCTCCGTAGTCGGGAGCCCATGGTCGATATTCTCTGGTGCCGTGCGTCCAGCATCCTTGTCCGCGAGAGACGCTTCGTCCGCTTTGAGCTTCGGAATAATCCAGACGCGCGCAGAGCTGGTTTTGCGCCGACCGACGGAGTATGTGCGCCCGTACTTGTCGAATCGTGCGAGCTTGCGAGTCCCACGTGCAAGGATCTTATCCTTGTCCGAGTGCTCGTAGATACGCAGGACATCTGCGAGTCCATTTGCGAACTGCACGTGCCCTGCCGTGTTCGCAATGTTGTAGTAACTCTGCAGCTGGCGCAGAAGCTTGATGAGGTCGGCGTAGTTGCGTGTGCTGAGCGGATTATCGAAAAGCTCGGACATGTCGCGACGCGAGCGCCAGTACGGCGTGAGAGTTGGTAGCGATGCTCGGGCAAAGTCGGGCAACGGTAAGAGCTCGAGTGCGGTAAGGGCCCGGCGTGTAGAATGTACTGCACGCTGCAGACTCTCCAGTTGATCGTAGTAGCCAGAGTTGAGCGAGTAGAATGCAGAAGATTCCGGCTTGTCCTTCCAGCGCCAGTCGCGTGCGTCTATCCCGTCCTCCTCCTCGTCCTGCCTCGGAGGTCTGGCGTTGGAACTATTCTGCCCGCTATTTCTTGGGGAAGTACCCGGTGGCGCGAACCGCTGCGAGGAACCAGTAGACTGGGTGGTGGCAGTGGCGTACAGACGCGTCCTAAGCGCCGCCTGCACCGGCCGCCGTAATGCGCTGAGCATGGTGCTAGCCAGAGCAAGTGACAGTGAACGACCAGGAGCACATCGCGCCGCCAGCGGGATTTTCCCGCGAGACGCAGGCTGCCGGCCCGGACTGCCGACATAGGGGCACATGCCGGTTCGCTTTCGCATCTCGCCACAGCCTGTCATCACCCCCCTGTTCTCTGCTTATCTCTCTCCATCTCTCTGTACCATATATTGAACTTTGTACCATATCTCGGATCTGCCCTTACGACGCCATGTCCAGCCAGCCTTCAGGGTCCCAGTCTTCGTCGGCCCGAACCATTCTTGCTTCCGCTAGCTTCTTTGGTCCTGACGGGGAGGTTGTCTGTAACAAATGCGGAAAGCCTGCAAGTAGGCTGACTAGCCACTCAGTGAAGAACCCAGGACGGTGCGTCTATGAGGTCATCCATGCTACAATCACTAAACCTCAGGCAGATTGTTTTGGAAGTGTGATCCATGCAACTTTTTCCGTACGTCGTTTCGTCCACTTCCTGTCAGATCGTCGTATTCTAATTTGCGATACGATGCAGAATGGGACGATAAGCTTCCTCCCCGTCCTGGGTCAGCGACACCTACGCCTTCACAGATGAACTCATCTCTACCTCCTGCGACACCCCGTGCTTCGCAAACAGTCCCTATTCCACTAGTGACGCCGTCTTCATCTCAGCATGCTCCCCGCGCAGGATTAACGCCTTCTCCGAATAAGCGCTCAGCTCCCGCGGAACCAAGCAGCCAGGAGGTGCGGAACAAGCGTCTTGCAACGATCTACAACGCGATTCGACAACCCGATCCGTCACAAATGCTCGCGACTCCATCCTCACCGACGCCGAAGAAGTTCAAATCTGTCACGAGCCCGTCCACGACTTCCGCCGCTTCGATACAGCCTCGTCCTATTCCGGCGCCTGATTTTGGTGTTCCTGTGTCAAGTCGTGCGAGCGACGCCGGCAATACTCTCACTATCCACGATAACGCGAGTGCCGACGACTTCTTCGGTGCGACCCCTCATATGCCTTCACATCATACGGATGACCACGACACGGAATTGTTGACTCCCCCGGATACTGGCAAAACCCAGATTATACCTCTTCCCGGTGCCGATAATAGCCCGCTGAAAGGTAAGGGCAAGGCCGTTGCAACTGGTATGGTACGTACTCATGCAATGACCTACTTGCTGCAATATACTCACGCCGTGTGTAGGAGTCTGATGAGGAGTGGAATGCGCTCGACGACACCATGGACCTGGACAACACGCAGTCGACATTGCAGGTTTCCCAAGAACAGCCTCCTGCCGGGCCATCTCACGCCAGAACTGTTCCGAGCGACATCGACTTTGAGCCTCTCTTCAAGGATTTGGCTCGACTCCCCGACTATGTCCGTTCGCTGAAGGCGGAGAATGCCAGGCTCAAGGAGGAACTCGATCGGTATGTACAGCCACTCGTGGTCATATATTACCAAACTGATGAAACCAAACCCAGGGAGAAAGCGAAGAGCAAGAAGTACAAAATTGCCCTTCATGCCGCGCTTGGTGACAAAGAGTGATGGTGTTGAACCCGCAGTCCTGTTTTGTCCAATACATGCCGTGTTTATGTTCGCTTTCTGTACGTCAAGTCGATTTGTGATGAATATGCCAGTGTGCTCGTCGGCACATAGTTTACTCCCCGGGCTTGCGGGTCGTGCAGAGATGGACGGCCACCGTGCTGGTGTTCGGGTTGGTTACGAAATGGTGTGGGATCCAACATATTTTCGCCTTCCCGAACCACAACCACGCCTGAGAACCCTTGCACTCCAGCCACATTTTAGTTGCCGGGAGCTCGTGCGTGTGTTACAATCATTTGTGCTTGATCGATGAAGGATGATTGAGCAGATAGCACTTCTCAACGTTGATTATGCTCAGACGCGATGAGACGGTCCGCGCCACTAGAGCTCCGTGGACCGAGGCGCTACAGCTCTTTGAGCAACAAGGAACAAGATTGTTTGTGCCGCCGGATCCATAATTATACAGGCGCGAAGCGCTAGGCGCCCAACATCTGTATTCCTCCACGCACACGCTCGCTTCTCCCGCATTGCTATACCAGTACTCGGCCGCTCATCCTTCGGTATAGAATCCTTCGCACTCAGCCTTTGCTCCGGATGGAAATGATGAACCATATGCCGGATGGGAGGTGGAACTGCGCTGTTGTGACGTACAGCGCGCAAGTATATTGTGCGTAATGTCTAAGCCACCTCCATTGTTGCTTGATTGTAATGGTTTGCTTCCACCGATTGGCACCAGCCACGAGTAACCGCACGGAAAAGTGCTAGTGGATGTCCTGCTATTGTTTGAGGGGAAGTGTGGTTGTAAATGCTCATGCGCTAAGTCATTGTGTGCCACAGCGTCGGCGTGCCCATGACGCCTGGCTCTTTGTTCGACGAAGGGTATAAAGCGCGGTTGCAGAGGTCTTTACCCTCAACGACCCGGCTATGACCTCGAATCGCCCTACACACTCTACCAGTTACAGCTTCGCCGGCCTTCCCAGCGCAACGTTCCGTGACTTTGATGAGGACGATCTTGCTACGCCAACCCAAAGCACCTGGCACCGCCGCTCGCGAACGACCGTCGAGATCCCAATCGACGTTCCACTCACCAGCCACCCAAACTCGCAGCTGCCGAAGCATATGCTGTTGAGCTATATGAAATGGATCGAAGACTTGTCGGCGAGCCTTCAGGCAAGGCTACGCGCCGAGGAAGCGGATGTCGCTGATTTGGAGGCGTACAAGAACATGATGGAGTTGGAAGTGGAGGAGGGAACTTCTCGCCAGTGGCGGACCCTGCTGATGCGAATGTTGCCTGGTGCGAAGGACTTAAATGACGCGATGGAGACCTTCAACGAGATACTGGAGAAGAAGCACGACCTGCTCGTGGTAACCTCGGCACGTGCGGCACACAGCAGGATGAGGGCGTACGAGGCGCGCGAGCAGCTTGAGAAAGCCCTCATTGCGGCGCGGAAGGAGCTGGAATCTTTGCAGACACCAGAGTTTGCGATGTGATCCTGGGGGACTTGCAATGAAGGACGCCGCAGACTCTCGACAAACCGACAGGGGTTCGTGACTCCATGTACGTGAGGACGAACAACGCCATCCTGGATAAGAAGAACCACTATAAGATCAGGAACGGCTGAGGTGCAGTCGTTCCATAAGCCATCTGCACGCTGCAGAATGGCCTAAAAGCAGTCGTGTTTGGTCAAAATCAGCCACCGGAACGGCTGCACCGCTGATGTGTGTCAAAATATCAGCCGCCCAATTTGCTCGATTGATGGTCAAAATCAGCCACTTATCAGCCCATTGGCTTGATATAAGCCACTTGGCGGCTTGCGTTCAGCCATTCTCGATCTTATAGTGAACATTGCCGATCATGTCACGGGTGGTTCCGTGCGTATGTGGATGTACAGGCCTCGGCGCCGCGCGGCGATGGACTTGAGAAGGCTATGCTTGTCGGTTTGACAGCCGGTTTGGAGAGGGGATAGTGCCGTTGGTAAGGGCTATCGGGTTGGTCAGGGATTCCCAGGGCATTGAGTTCGAGCCATGTCAGCCTGCAGTCGCAGAGGAATAACGATTGAACGTCTTCAATAATGACCCTGCGCCGCTATTACTTTCGCGCGCTAGCATCTCAGTTCGGGCTTCGCACAAGAACGGTTGGGCTACGCCCAGGGCACTACAAAGCAACATGACAGTGGAATAGCAAAACCGACGATTGGGAAGTAGTAGGTTCAGTCAGAAATCCTTCTTAATGAGAGATAGTAGTCACTTCTACACCAATTGGCCCGGCTCCAATTTGCTTAGTGCATCGTACGCAGCCAGCCTCTTCGCAACGTTCCTTGCGCTGCCTGTACCAATGGCAATGACTTCTCCGTTCACTAGCATGCGGGGTCAGATTGTGACGGGCATTGAGCTACAGGTTGACGCACGCTTGGCTTGAGCAGTATGTATGTGGTTGTTGGCTGCGCCAGAAACGCTACAGACCCATTCAAACTTGTCAACTTGTTTGATGCGACTGAGGTAGTTGTGCAGGCGGACTATGTAGTCAACTACAGCCGATGATGAAAAACCTCAATCATTGCAGGGAGGAACAAGAGGCACGCACTGCTGTCGCTGAACTTGGGGACCTGTTCGGACATTCTCGATGAGTGGCCAGGGTATGAAGTTCAGATGGGGGTGGGGAGTTAGAATGGAACACAGTCAGCCTTTATATTTCTTCATCTGCCTTCGTTAAGACGCCGTCCTTAACCCAGGTAATCATGAAAATGGCCGCCATGACCTGAGAATCTTACTCATACAGAAAGACTACCGCGGGGAGGGATCCTGTGGGATACAGGCTACTGTCGTGACACGCGCCCGTAGCCGTATCATCCCGGAAGCACATATTCCGAACCAGCGGAGAATGTTTAACATCGCGGGCGGGTTGTTACCCATTGAAAAGCGGGAAAAGCGGGAAAGTAAGTGATCGAATATAGAGATAGTTCCACTGCCAAATAAGAAGTGTCTCTCGTGAAGGCCCCTACACATCCAGAAGGGATGTAGACGTGTGTGCCACGAGGTGCATTCGGCAAGTAGTTGAAAGGCAGTGAATGGGTCAACGCAAGCACGATGAGCGCACTAGTATCACAAGATAAGTGGTCCATAACGCTGGGGCGAACTTGACCACTCGCCGTTTAGATGATCACCGATGGGCGACCATGCCGCGCAATGCTGCGCAATATACAACGATCCTACAGAACCTGTCCATACACCGGATCGATTCAGCGGGCGCTCCAGAGTAAAGCATAAGGAACACCTTCAGTACTTATTGGAGCATTCGCAATAGTGCACCGTGTCGCTCAAAACTACGGATGCAGTGTATCCCGGCAACTTACGCTAACGTCCTGGCGCGCGTCTCAAGGTGGTAAGGTCTGCCGTTCAGCTTACTCAAGTAGATTCGGTATAACGTCGCGGCTAAACGCAAGTTACTCAAAACATGATGCCCGCCCGTTCGCGCTATGTTTGAATACCGCGACAACTAGTTCAAACGCCCGGAATGCCTGGATCCAGCCAGCGTTTGCCGGAACAAAGCTGTCGTTGGTCGCTTCGTCCCATCTATATCCTGAGTATTTGATGGGCCCAACCACCCAAGACCAGTGCTCGCCGATCGATTAAGCGTGAGGGGCGTCGGTCTCACCTAGCGCGAGTGGGTCTAACAGGCTGCAATTAGCTGTCTTGTCTATCAAGATTAGCGTCACGGTTTCCCGAAACGAAGTAGGCATCGCGGTTCATCGCCTGTCGACGAGACATGCGCCAGATCACGAACCAGTTTGGGCGTGTGAAACGAGTTGAGCCCACCAATGTCCGAATCCACCTCCGCATGAGGCGGAGCTTCACAAGTCGCAGTAACAGGACGAGGCTCAGTTCAAATGAGCTCGACGATTTGTTGCATGGCCGGCGATAGAAGGTTATACACGTCGGCCGAGGACCACCTGACCCTGCAAAGATGAACGGACCGGATGACATGTGTAGGCGCCTGTGAAGCCAGGATGTGGGTCTGGGTGTGCGCTTCGGCCACCGAAGTGGTCGAGAAAGTCGCTATGTCGGCTGATTTTCCGGCCCCGGAGCGTTTAGGGAAACGGTACGGAGTCGAAGACGGCAACATTGCCCCTCCGCCTATTCTGTGGTCATCATCAACCCACAACAGCATCAACCCGCGCCTAGGCTGAGGCAGCGAACAAGATCGCTGGTTGCCTCCTGCGCATGTACGCAGACGGGCAATCACGACATAAGACGCGTAATCTGGACAGTCCTCGTTCGTGACGGGATCAAGGACTATAGTTCCTATGCTGATAGTAGTGTCGATACGAGTATGCGGATTGAACCCCCCCTAGAAGCGCATCGTTCCGAGATACGAGGCTCTCATCCAGTCTGTGGGTCCTGCGGTAATACGTGGGTAAAGGGACCGAGCCCGAGATGTGGCATCACTTGGAGCGTATCAAATCCGTCGTTTCGCGAGGTGATAGTTGGCATTGAGAGTTGAGAGTCGAAGACGTCCGGGCATGAGCATGCACGGGCAGGTGCTGTACTCCCTGAACGGAGGACACTCCATGGGAATGACCTTTGGTGGATGTGAATCTCCGTAATCTGGGGGTCTGAGGGTGCTCTCTTCGATAAGCCGGATACTTGATCAATCGAGCACATCCGCGCTAGATTGACGGCGGCTCTCTTGAGGAACGGCATGTCCCTCGGCATGTTCCACGGAAATTAGGTAGTCTAGGTGTTTCTCGGCGTATGATTACAAATGACCGAGCGAAGTCGATTCATAGGGCTGATACAATGTTGATGATGCTGTAAGCTATTGTCGTGCATGGCTGTAATCATCTGGAGATACCTTGTGAAGAAGGCCGAGAATCTATGCGACCGCTCGGGGTGCCTTCCAGGGACGTGTCCTCATAGACCGTTAAGCGGGTACCCATATGTCGCTCTACGTTGCGACCCGGATGATAGAGAGCACTGCACCGTAGCTGACACTTGGCGCCTTATCTAATGACAGTTGAGTGCTACTCGTTGACTCTTTCACCCAGAGCCAATGTGGCGTCTTCGTCTCGCTAGTAAGTCTGTCCTGTGGAAAAAATGGAGATTCTGTGAGCGACTTGAAACTCCCGGTGGCAAAACAAAAGGTGACCTTCACGTATAACATCGGTCCAGACAAGCGGCGACTTGAGGTAGTATGACATTCTTGGTACCAAGTTTCGTGTGTAGTGTCAGACGCGCGGAAATGTGTGTGGCGTTTAATATGAGCGATGTTCTTTTCTTGCACGCGTCGATCCGATAGTCTCTGGCTTCCATTCGCGTCCAATCAGACGTTTACTACATCGACACGGTCGACAGAGGGTGCGAAAACAAGCGTTCACCTGAGCTCGTGGTGGTAGATCGAAGGCAGCCCACTGCGCTCACGGAAGCCAACGCGGCGACGTGGTGGCGCGGGAATGCCCGACTTGAGCAAACACGCGCACACGTGAGATATCGCGTTCACAGTCACTCACGGTAGTAGGGAACGCGATCCAGTGGCTGCCATCCAGACATATGTGGCTTCAATTCCCCCGGGCGTCGAAAAGTCTGGCCTTGACGTTGCGTTCGTCACGTCGTGCGACTAATCTTGCACACTCAGAACCTGATATATTCGGGCTCCACTGACCCAGCGCTCAGACCGCCAGGACTTGTCTCGACAGCTTCCACCGGCTGGATGAAAGAGGCTCACGGCTTGCGCTGCGGTTTACCCGTACATCAGAGCAGCTAGCGGTCTGTCTCAGAGCTAGAGCAGCGCGCAACAAGCCTGGAAGCATATGAGATATTGAGCTTCTGTGCCCCCAGTACCTATTGAATGGGTGAAGCTGACTCTGAGCTGACTGCTACAATGACGGGCGTTGAGAGATTACAGGTTCACTAGACGAGTTATACGATACAAACTCCGGCGGGTAGGGTGTTTACGCGTAACATAGGAGGACCACCCAGTGGAGGATATGGCAATGTAGGGAGAACCAAGCGGTGAGCAGAGAAGTCACGGCGTGAAGATGTGAGAGTCTGCGCAGCCGCGGCAGCAGATAGGAATAAAAACAATTGAGACCGTAACATGAGGTATGGGGCAATCAAGTGTTCGAAAGACGAGATGAAGTAGAGGAACGGAGATGACGATGCGAAGACGAAACTATGCGGATGCAGACGAGATGGTGTAGGGCGCTGTATACAGTTAGGTTTACCCAGATACGGAGTTCACCGTAGCGAGTCGGATATAGGTCGGGAATGCGTGGGCGAGAGCGAAGGGACAGCGAGGGAGGAAGAACAGGTGCGTCGGGGGCGCGGGATTTTACCGGACCGCGGCGGGCCGGTGGAGCAACCAGCACGGCTATAGCAGCGGCAGCCACTGACCTATTGACAAAGAGGCGCACGTCAGTGTCTGAAAGACGGGGATGAGAGGCGGAAAGAGTGAACGGGGGGTATACCAGAGCAGAGTATAATGGAGTGGCTTGGCCGACGCAGCGGGGCTTGCAAGGGTGTCGATTCGTCCACCGCCGCGTCGCAGGGGGGAAGAGCTACTCTAGGATGAACACCCGGTGGAGACTAGGAGACACGCACCGATAACTAGACTAGGCAAGTCGAAGATGTCGCGTCGTATGTGGAAGCAGAAGGTCGCAGGTACCGGCGTTCCGTCGGGCTTCAGCAACACGCAGTGGGAATATACAGACTGGGTGGTGTTTTCGAATGCGTGTGTCGCAAAGTTTTCCCAGTACTCAACAACCGATTGGTTTTCGAAGAGCTGATGCCGTTCCGTAAGCGGAAGACAGCGACACAAGTCGGTATGCACGTACCTCCCAGATATACTTGTTTTTCCCAAGCAGTTCTTCTTTGGGCCATTCAGTGAGCATGCAAAACTCCGGACCGACCAAGCATATTTCGCCTGTGCGGCGCCAGACGACGGTCGGCGTACCGACGTATGATATCAGTTTGTCTAGTTCCTGCAACGTAGGTCAAGATGGGCAGTAAGGAAGCATAGCGAGAATGTACACGTACGATGAGCGAGCGCTGGAGCGACTTTTCTACGAAGACTTCGTCTTCTTCCGTGAGTGGCATTTGAAGAGCGATAAGGGAAGGTCGAAAGATCGCCAAGGCGCGCACAATGCGCAAGATATCGTTCTTGTCGAATCTATCCGTCGCTCGCTTTGTATAATTGCGGAGATAGAAGAAGCACAAACCCACCTGTGACGGATGGTCTGCATCAGGAGGTGATAACCCTTGGTGTAGTCGTAAGCCTTGGTCACGGCGCCATAGACCTCATCCCCGCGTGCGACCGCTCCAACGCCGGGACCTTCAATCTCGGTGTGTCCATCATGTCGGTCGAACGCCGCAGGGCCAAACACGTATGATGAGTCGGCAGTAGAGGGGGGCAGACGCGGTGCGAGCGGATGTAAGGGTTGTGACACCGACTCCAGAGCGGCCCCTACGACTGAGGACTGGTCTGCGGACGTAGGAGCTGGAGCAGGTTGCAGACTACTGGCCATAGCCGGCGAAGCGAGAAAGTTGGCGCCTGGGAAGTCTTCGCCGGTGGTGTAGAGCCCGCCTGGTGATGTATCGAATGTCGTCGCGGAGGCGCTAGCGCCAGATGCGAAGACAGAAGGGTCCCAGGCATTGAAGTCTGTTGGATTCGGTGGTGCTGACGCTGGTGAATTCGTCGACGCCTCCGGTTGCGACTCCGGCGAGGGTTTGCCGAGTATGGCAGACAAGATCGAGTATTCGAGATTGGCGGCTTCTGAGCCGAAACTGAATGTGGGGTCGAAACTCAACGAAGAACTGAACAATGGATCTGACGATGGGAAGGGATCTGTTGCTGCGAAGATGATGAGCTAGAGCAGACATCGGCTATCAATCCGACGTACATGTCGTCGCAGAGATTGGTGGCGGGGGCTGCGAGGATAGCAAAGGGGGTAATTGTGCTGGCGGAGGCGGAGGCGGGGCGGGCGCGATAGGTGTTGGCTGGGGATGTTGTGCTGAGGCCGCAACATCGCCGGACTTCTTGCGCTTGAGTTGTTCTGGAAAACGCGCGTCATCGACTATGCCCATTTGGTCAACCTGTGCAAAGAGCCGACATACCAATTTCCTCTTCGTCGAGGAGGTACTTTGCTCGTTTGCGATGACCCTCAACACATTGCTCTGCAACCCCGCGTTTTACGCATCGTTGGCATGGGCGTGCTATGAAAAGAACGGGATCATTAGCCGTCGAGCGAGGCTGAGTAGAGCGTTTGACTGACAATCGTCGCAAGTCAAGTGCGCCTTCTGGCACAGAGCGCAGGCTCTACTGGCCTTTTTCTTCTTGGGGCCATCCTTAGATTTGCCGTTGGAAGTGGCCTGTCCATTCGTGGTGTCGACCATCTCGTTCGAGTTACTCCGTTTCCGTTTTGGTGCAGGCGCAACGCGACGCGGTGGAGCAGGCGCAGGTGCTAATGGTATTCCATTTTCTGAAGATGGACCAGCCTGGCCGTTATGACTATGGACTTGATTGTGCTGTGCGAGACCAGAGAGTGTGGCCGGATTGATGGCTATCGGCTGTATCGGCTGTAGCCCTCCTAGCGCGCTGCTCATGATGTACCGGTGAAGCTGGAGCCGTAGTACGCGTATTCGACCACGATGGTAGAGAGCAAGGAGGAGCCCTGAGCGGATGCGAGCAAAGCGGTCGGCGAATGAGGTTAGGCGAGCGCGTTAGATCACGCGACGGGTATTGCGGCTTGCTTCACGTTTGAGCCGAAAGGGCCGACTGGACGGGCGTTGTCTTGGGCGACGAGGTCGTTGTGGTCGAGAGGCAAAGCGCGTGCGGCGGACTCAGAAGCAAAGCCAACGGGAGCGTGTGTGCTTCAAAGTGACGCGCAGGTCGGACTTATGATATAAGTATGGGGCACGCGTGTATTATTTGATTGATCATTATGGCCTTTCCCAGCGCATGCAAGCCGCGCGCCTCTTTCGCTGTGTCTTCTATCTGCCTACGCGACAGATCATCGTAGGTAAACAGACAACAGTCCGAACAGTTGGTCTTCATCTTGCCCCGCAAATCGCGTCGCGCGTGCGGCGGGCCGACGTTTGTCAACGACAAGCACGAGATTTGCGACTCCTGTCGTGAGCCGCTCGGATTTGCTACGGCCCTCGACGGCTAGATTCTGCCGGCGGACGATCCTTGAACCCCGCGCCTGCGCCGATTCCGCATAGGCGACCTCTTGCCTCCAGTACCTATTTCCACGTAAGTCCGTGCTACTGGAGGCTGCTCACGCTCACGGTGCACCGCCGGAGCTGCCTAGTACGCTGTCTGCGAGCGCTGCGGGGCTACCATGTTTTCCGCCCAATTCTGACGCGCCCACGAAGGAAGGTCCACTTTGACTGGCTCCCGCCGATCGGTCCGCCCTCCCGCGCGCCCTGTCAACTACGCCGACCACTGAGACCGATGTCCGCGAGGCGCAACCTCCTCGCACGGCTCATTCGTGCTATCGGTCCGGAGTCCGCCTCAAACGAACTCCGGTGGATGCAGCAGGCATGCGCGCGTACGGATGACAAGAAGCTCGAGGATATGGTGGCCCGCCGCGAGGGCGGTGAGCCGCTGCAGTACATACTCGGTTTGGCCACGTTCCCGCCTGTCAACCTGTGAGCGTCGTGCTGAACTGATGATCGCCAGGCACACAACCCTTCGGGCCCCTTGAGTTGCTCGTACGCCCGCCCACACTGATCCCACGGCCAGAGACCGAAGACTGGGCACTGCGCATCGCTCGCGAGCTAGTACCAACACCGAAGGCGCCTGCGAGGGTCCTGGATCTTTGTACAGGCTCGGGATGCATTCCGCTCTTACTTTGCTCGCTCTGGCCACGAGGCTCGGTGCGCGCTGTCGGCGTGGACATATCTTCCAATGCGCTCGCCCTTGCACGCGACAACGCGCGGGTTGTCGGGATCAGCGATGGCCTACAGGCTGCAGACACAGGCAATTTATTTCATCCCCTGGCAGGCGACCTGTCCGACCCTTTGGCACTTGCCAGTACACTACCAATGAGGCCATATACACTCGTGACTGCGAACCCACCATATATTCCGAAGGCAGAGTACGACGGCTTGGACGATTCCGTGCGGAACTGGGAGGATCGTAAAGCACTCCTTGGGACAGATCATGACGGGCTCGGGATGTATCGCAGAATTACCGAGCTTGTTTGTGCTGAAGGCGTGTTGCAGAAACGTGGAGCGGTGATTGCTCTCGAGGTTGGCGAAGGACAAGCGGGTGCTGTGCAGGAGATGATTGGCTCTTCTGGAGTATTTCAGGAAGTGCAGATATGGAAAGATCCTTGGAATATCGAACGTGTGGTAGTTGGTCGGACAAAGGACTAGAAATGCAATTTTGATGATGATACATTGCCCGGTATACACCTAGAATACAAGACCGACACTAATAATCGATACATTTACTGGCCGGACGTCCACTTGTCCATTGCCTCGATGTACTTCGCCCAGCGACCACCGTTCTGTGCGATCATGAACTTCCAGAGCTCGCTGTCCTCGCCATGGATGTTCTTGACACACATGAACGTGCCGGCAAGGTCGGTGTCCTGGGAATGTTGTTGTCAGCACCAGTCGGCGACGTGACAATCAGGCACAATCTACTCACAACAAAGACGGGCGCGTCACCACCGTAGAATGTCTTGCCCTGAGCGTGCTCGTCGAAGGCGGTGGCAGCGGCGTCGAGTGCGGCCTTGATCGCCTCGAATTGCGCCTCGCGCTTCTCACCCTGAGGTTCGATGTCCTCGAGTTTGCGCCCCCCGAAGTTCTTCTCGCGCGCCGTGCGAAAGTGGCCCTGGTCCTCCGGCAGCGTGATAAGGAAGATCTGGTAGATCGAGAACGGGAAACGCGTCATGTTGACCTTCTTGCCGACGCCGTTGATGAACGCGAGCTGCGCCTCCTTCGTCTCGGCGGAGAGCAACTGCGGGGTGTCGGGGTACTGTGCACGAACGGCGGACGTGAGCACATCGATGGAACTGAGGATCATGCGCCACCCAGATTCTCACCTGGGCGTCAAGGTACTCCATGATAGGGATAGAGTCCTGGATGGCCTTGCCGGTGTTAGGGTCCACGATAGCGGGAAGCGTGTAGCCATCATCGGTCTTTGGCGTGCCGTTAGCCTCAAGGACCTTCGGGATCTCGAGGAAGCTGAGCCACTCGGTCTTGTACGGAAGGCCCTTGATGTTCAGCGCATACCTATGCGTTCGAGTGCGTATCAGTACAGTATGCAGGAGCTAGGATGAGATAAACGAGCGCGTACCGGATGCGCCAGGTGTTGGGAGAGCTGCAGAGACCGGTCGTGAACTTGATGTCGTAGTAGGTGATGGGCTTCGTCATGGTGGATTGAGTGGTAAGAAGACGCCGAAAGGCAGCAGGGAGTAGTGAGGAGAACAGGGTGATTGTGTTGCTCGACTGGCACGGCGTTCAGATGTTTACGGCGCTCAATCTTATATAGCGTCAAAACCCAATACGCGCAGACGGCATCGGTCAGCGTGCCGTTGCTTAGTGGGAGCTTACGCAAGACGCAGCGAGACAGAGAACAATCACTGCTTCTCACCGAGTGAAAAGAAGCGTGGAACCGTTGGCTGAGCTAAACTATACCGCATACAACAACTCACGAACGGGGCTCGTGAGCCTCCGCTCTTCCGTGGAAGCTCAATCGGCGACTCAAATGTGTGAAATGGCAAAGCAGAGCGCCACAGTAATATGAGTCGGCAAGAAACACTGTGAACGCGGCTTGCGCCTTGCGCTGAGATAGTGGATGCGTGACAGCTGTATCCGGCTGGGCCTTGTCGGCGGAGGTGATCGTGGTTTGGATCAACCTTCATAAGTACGAGGCCCGATAGCCGTCGATCGTCGCTATACGTCCACGTGCCGACCATGATGTCCGCAACAGGCTTTTTCAATCTAATCACGATGAATCCCACAAGCCCAGCAGTCTGTGCCGATAAATACAACTGATAACTGATTTTACACTTCAACCCGACAGAAGCTTCCCTGAACAGTATTTGCGGTAGAGATTTACAATCGACCGGGATAATGTCGGTTCCGATGTGCAGTGCTGTTCAGTGTTTCGACGCCCTTGGCTTATGCGCGGTGAATTCGCCCTCGGGTGCACTGTGACCTGCGAAGATGTCGACACTGACCGAGAGCAACCCGCCCCACGGCCCATCAACGGTGTCCAATGTAAGACAATCCTCTCTCATCTGATGTCCCTTCACCGACGGGAAAGGTCGGCATATGCTCCTGCCCATGTTTTACTCATCTGCATCACGCACCCTATACGAAGAAAAGAACATACCCGATCTCCGCATCTGAGGTTGAGGTTGATGTCTTTGTGTTGGACAATGATGTTCCACGCCGCCTCGGTCCTCGCAGGCACGAGCTTGCTGAGTGATACATAGCTCGATAGCGATTCATTGCGTCGGGAGCGAAACCAAACAGGGCAAATATGGCCACTGCATACACAACCAACACCCATTCATTCCAGTAAAGCACAAAGCGATCCGTAATTTGGCCTTGCCAGGTGGAGGCGGGGGTGCTGGCCGGCTCCCAGGTGTTGTGTATGACGTCCCAACCCGGCCAGAACGGATAATGAGGACCAAAAAAGTTATTAGAGATGAATAGGATGATTCCAACAGGGAGAGAGAGGAAGATATCGATGAGACTAATCGCCAATAGTCGCGTGTAGCGTACGCGATCCCAGTCCCGGCGTCCACTTTCTGTGCGATGGATTACGTGCCAATACCGGTATAGACAGAGTGCAATCCTCCCTGTATTGACGTTCAGACATGCCTCGTACGATGACGTGAAAGAGCATACAGCAGTAGAGGGAAATGGAAACCATTGGCAAGATCAACGGCCAGATCGTCAAGAGCAGGATAGTAACTCCGCTTCTATATGGGCATGCTCCGCACCCATAACTCTCAAAAACTTGAAAACGTCCAGTCTGGACGACATAATCTGCCATTATAGTCAGTATACTCCGAAGGAATCTGAGTCAAGTCACAAACATAGAGTCATGTGCATGATGGGCACTCCAAACCCAAGAAAGTAATCCACAAAGGCCGTTCCATGAAGCTAGATTTTGCTTGAGCGATTGCATGTGGCATGCATTGAGCAGAGGCATAGCACAGACCACGGACTTATGCGGTGAGACTTCACCATCCAAGATGATCCACAATCGCCGTGTCATAACCAAAGAGCAGGCAGGGAGTCCCACTGCTAATCCGATCTCAAGATGAGACGCTGCGGTGTGTGAAGTCAGCATGTGCGATATCACGTCCGGGGAATCATCATTGATACTCACAGATGTCGCAAAAGACCGGTAGGATGATTTCGTATGAGTTGCGCCATACGATCGTTTGTATAGACATCTTGAAGAGACCAATCATGACCCATCCCTTCAGCATGACGATGCCGCGATCATAAGGACCTCGATAGCTGCTCGTCACGAGTGTAAGCAGCACGAGGATCGAGGCCACAATATTTGATATCGGCGCGAGAGGGAATGTGGGATCCAGCATGCTAGTTGAGGGAAAGGACAACGGCGCCGCGGGAGGGTAGGAGTCAGCGATTTCGGGCCACATACCATAACCATGTCGATGCTGCATGTATATGGGCGTCGCAAGCACTTTCACATGCAGCAGCGGCCAGCGTACTGAAGCCGAGCGCCAGTGCCCATTCCGAAGTAGCACATCGAAGTCGGAAGTGGGCGAGCGTTCCCTGCATGATCAGCGCTATAGGATGCGATCGCACAGGTTGTGAGTGATGCCAGAACGAATCGAGGTGTTCGTCTGGACGGGCGAGCGTGTTCGTAGCATGAACTTCTCGATACGGTGACTAAGGCGGTGATCGCGTCTGATTATTAGGCGCCGTCAGAGTTGTACATGAGACAGTTGTAGTTCTGCATTGGGGTTGGAGAGCGGGGTCCAATTGCACTCGGTTTGATGTTGGTGGTTCGTGTCTAAGATAAGAGCGTCATCACCCGACGGCAGAAGCGGGATCTGCTGTGAATTGCCACGGTTTCACATCCCTCTTCAATCTGACATTCCGTATCGCGCCTCAGGCGGCGCAATCATTCGGAATACATCCCACGAAGGTCGTCGCATGAAGATGGGCCTGAGGGCAGGGTAGGTTTCATGTCCCTCTGTCAAGAGCAATCAGCATGGAAAAATACGTGTTGACCCCGCATCGTGCGCTCACGGTAAGATAGAAGACATCCTACGACCCTGTAAAACGTTGCAGAGCCGCATTTCGTGTCCCTAGAAGCCGCAGTAAGTGAAATTGGGACATATGAGCAGATGAAAGGTGTGTGCATCGTCGAGGTCGTACGTGTAGACGATGTCGGACGTTGAAGAACGAGATATATCGAGCTCTTCTGCGCGCAGAGCTGAATCCCTTCGCTGACCGCAATACCTCGCAGCAGCTACTTTCCGTGCTTGAAGCGGGATGGCATCGCTCGTAAAGTGAACGCAAGCTCGCTTACCCGCATGGGGTTATACGCGAGAATCTGCGATGGAAGTGCCCGTAAGTGAGAGACGTGGCATATTGTGATAAAATGCGATGGAGGGGTCGTTTAGGGTTGGACCGGGACCAAACTAGGTCGAATGACCTCGGATAGGCCATCGCGTGAGGTCCACAGACACACTAGGGTGCAGAACGTCGAGCAGGCCACTACGTACAACTGGACGATATACTCCAACTCGGCAGTGGCGTAAATCTCGCGCAGCAAGCGGCACGTGTGCGTCGACGGAAGGTTAAACAGTACATAGAGATGGATGCCATCGTATCAGTTAGCACCGTGTGAAGTCATCGTAACCTTGTAAGGTTCGATTCCAGTTTACGCATCGGTCGGTACGATCCAGATGATGCCACGACGACTATGGTGGTGGTTCGGGTTCAAGACGGCCAATTTGATCGGAAACGTATACTATACCGGGAAGAACGTGGCGCGATCCCGTGAGTAGTCGCGTGCCTGGCCGCTCTTCGCTCCAGACCACCATCTGTGCGACCAGCTGCGAGTCCAAGTTTTACGGTCTAGCGTTGCCTAAGAACGTATCAACACAAGCCGGTCATACGTGTGGATCCCGTCTTGCAAGGATGTCTGGACGCCCGGACGTTGCATCACCAACCACTGTTGCGGCTATCGCGGAACACAGCGATGAACACTTATCACGCAAAGTGCGCACATGCGGCAAGTACGTAGTGTTGCAAGAACGCTTCCATTCGTACCGCTGTGAGCGCTCAACTGACCCGCACATCTTTACTGCAGAGTGCTGTCGTACGACTGCGAGAACGCAAGAATGCTGCTATGGAGCGGCGAACATGCACTGCTTGTTGATACCAAACTTTGCATACATGCCTCGGGCGCATGGCTTAGAGAGCCCTACACGATCGTCGTTGTGATAGGGTATGTCGAGCGTCTCGATGTAAGTACAAGCTCTTCCCCGTTTCCAGCGACGCCTCGACGATCTTTGCACCTTTACGTCGTGTGCTGCTTCTTTGCTCCCCGTAGATTTCATATCAACCATGCTTTACACCGCAAATGCCACGCTCTTGCCATACTCTTGATGTTTACATACTTGCTCAGAAGCAACACTTCGAGAAGGCTGAGCGCACCATGCCAGCTCCCACTGCGTTGCCTGCAGGGAATCTCGCAGTGTCGGAGGTGGTTCAGATCCAAGCGCTCTTGATCAAGGTCGATCCATACATCGACCTCCGCGAATGGGAAGAGGACTGCGAGGGACTTCCAGGCTACCTCCAACGCCTTCAAGCCGCCAGAAGCAAGCGCGCAGTGACGCACGACTGAGCCGTTCCCAGCGCCCACCGCGTTCGCCGACGCCGACGCAGGGAGTGAAATCAAGCGGACTTCACAAGCCCACGCTCACGAATACAGCGCATCGGAACGTCGCGCCGTGCCGGCCGCGGCACATGTGTGCATCCCGCCGCCCCGTCCGAACGCCGCGCGGCATATCGTCGCAGCTACGATGGATTATCGATGAATTATCGCCCCGGCGCTTTGGCCTGCTGGGCAGAGGGCAAATGGGAGGACGTTTGCCAGTCAGGTTACATGTTGGTCCAGCTTCCAGATGGAAGGGCGCGATTCTGTACGTAGAGCGGGTCGATAAGAAAACACGTTGTGGAAGATGGCCGGAGCATGCGTGATGGACGTGCCTACGATCCCTACAGCTGTCCTCGTCGAGGACGACGACGCCGGCGGCAGCGATGAGAGTGCCGCTCGGGCGGGGAAGTTAGTGAACGGAGAAAGCGGCACAAAGGGCCACGCGAGAGGCCGAGGCTCGTTCCTGATGTGCTAGATCGGGAATGGGGGCATCAAACAATAATGACGCGGCGGAGGACTTTAAGCAGTTGGCTGTCTAGTTCGACCGCGGGCGGGCTGCGAGCAGGCTCGGGCTCGGGCGCGAAGCTGACAGCACGCTGTGAACAAGCCGGTAGGGCGTGTGGTGGGCGTACACGGGTACTCGGGGTGCTCGGAAAAGTGCGTGCGGATGCGAAAAGAAAGCAGCTAGCCGGCACGTGGACTCAGGTCGGTCCATGCAGCGGCTTTACACTGCTCCCTTGTCCGTCTGCACACCTTAGCACCGTCCACCACTACCCAGTCGTCGCCCGACGCCCAGCGCACCTCATCGCGCACCTCTGCATCGACGCTCCGAGCAGGCCTTGAATCAGCGACCTCGAGCATCTGCCCCGTCCGCCACACAGCGATGCAGGCGACACTCTCGCCCTTTTACACCTTTGGCTACAGTACGCACGCCGCGTACGAGTTCTCCTCAGACATGGAGACCCTCCAAACGCGCTACGCCACCTCGTCGTGCCGCGATGAGCCGCCGCATGATCCCACGGCCCCGAAGTACGATCCGCTCGGTGTGCTCAGCAAGCCTGCAGCGCCGGTGTGGGAGAAGCCGGTCTACACGAGGACGAAGCTCGTCGTCGTAGCGTCCTCCTCGCCCAGTGCGGCCGACAACACGTTCACGCCCCGCGATCCCCGCGCAATCGACATGGCCGCCGCCCAGCCGCCCCACAGGAAGACCCTCGCGTGGGCCCGTGACCAGGGTAAGGTCGACCAGAGTCTCTGGGCCCTCGCCGCGCTCTCGCTCGCGCACTCGCCGTGGGCGGACAACTACTCCCACTTCTGGGGCGAGGACGTCCGCGCAGACACGGCTCGCTTTGTGTTCGGCGCCGGTGGTGCGTTCCCTTGTCCTCGGTGCCTGAATTGAAACAGATGCTCATTGTCCTCCATTTGACTTTAGCCCACAATTTGATGCGCACTACACGCCGCTCAGACCCTCCTTTGCACTCAGACGTCGACCTTTATCGCGATGTAGTTCGAGCCTACAAGACGTGGGAAGAATCGCTCAAGCCCAGCGTGGCGGCGCCACCCGTCCGCACTAGTCCGCGCGTAGCCCAGAACAAGCGCAAGGCTGTCATCGCCGCGGCAATTGAGACAGTCGAAGAGGCTATTGAAGCCCAGGAAGCCAAGGAATCCGAAGTCGCACCGCCCACTACCAAACGCACTCGCACTCGCACGACAGCGGCTCGCAAACGGGCCGCCGGCAGCCCGACTCATGCACCGGTAATCTCGAGCCCTCTCGCGCACTCGATGTTGCTTCCTGCCGCGGAGATCGACGCAACCCCCGCCCCGACTCGCGCCAGCCAGCGCCCGAAAAAGAAGAGTCAACTTGCCCGTGACGCAGAGGAACATGCAGCTGCCGCCGCCGCAGATGACACACGCCCAGCCGCCCGGCGGGCCGCCTCATCAAGTGCCAGTTCGGACGTCAGCTCTATCACTGCTACTTCGGCGACGCCTAGCGCGCCCGCTATGGTTACAGGCAAGCGCTCCCGCTCAGGTTCGGCCTCTTCGGCGTCTACGGCCGTTGACGTCGTTGCGGAGCTTGCGAAGAGCGAGGAACGCCCTGCTAAGAAGTCGCGCACGACGAAGCAGGCTTTGGCTGCTCCCACGCCCGAGCCCGAAGCAGAAGATGTCTCCGCGGATCAGACTGTCGCGACCGAAAAGGCCTCGAAGAGCCCAGTACGGAAGCGGGCGCCTAGGGCGCAAACGAATCGCTCGCGTAGACGGTAGTCGTGCTACGTGCCCGGCAACGTATGTTCGCGCCTTTCTCTCTCACCATGCATCTTGAACCGTGCGTCGTCTTTCTCGATCATAAAATTCGATCCGGCGCTTACTTGGTCGGCAGGCAGCCCGTCCCACACGTTTTATCTCCGCACAGCATCGTCGACGTCGCCGCACGTCCCATCGTCCCGCACAACGATGCGCCCCGCATCAGTATACGACTTGAACGCACTCATCACGCACACACACGTACTATCGCATGGTCGAGCTCGCTTTGCAAAGCGACGCGTACCCGCTGCCGTCAGTGGGAACACGCGCCGCGTGGATATCATGTGATCGCGTCGCCCGTTCCGGCGCGCGGTCCGCCCTCCGGCTTTTTTTCTCCTCTGGATTTGTTTTCCGCCTTGCTTTCTTTTCCCGTCCTCCCGCCCCGCCGCACGTCACGACCTGCATATCAGACTCCCCCATCACTTCTTATTCATCTCTATTGGTTCTCAGTCTCGTCTGTATCCCATCCCCGGCCCGCATCTCCATCCAATCATCTGTCATCCCATACCACTCGCGCCTGTGTTTGTTTACCCATCGTCTCGGCTCCCTATCATCCATCCATATCTTGTAGCGCTCTGTCGCTTTGTACGATAATGCGCGCATCCCGCCCCGCTCGTGTGGGCATAGACATCGCACGCGCATCCCCGGAGAAGTCACAATCGTAACCCTGTACAATACTACCCTATCTTGGTTTTCCTGTCATCGTATCTTGTCCTCGCTGCATATATAATGCGCTTGATGTTTGTCCTTCGCTCGGTGGAATGTGTGGAAGCAAGCATGGATCCATATCGTAAGTATAAGTATACAGTAAGGTCGTCGTAAACGGTCCACTAGAAATACAGGATGGAGACAGACACAGGAAAGCATACAGGGAAACCGAGACATCTAACCCATGAAAAACGTGAGAGCGTGCTCCTCATAATCCTCTTCGCTCCAGTGTTCTTCTGTTTCTTCCTCGACGAAAGCAGGCTCGGGCGACACGGACCACTGTACGCTCTTGACCTTCGCGTGAGCTCTCAACGTAGACAACGTCTTCTCGTCGACGGTACAATCCTTCAGGTCGATGTCGAGCGGAGGAAGACAAAGCGCTTTGCGCTCGTGAAGCATGTGGAGAAGCTCCTGGCTGAGCTCCGAGCTCTTGACATCGATCAAGACAATGGCCTTCATCCGCGCCGCGACGCCCCTCTCAGCAGGCGACAGCGAGCTTGCGAGGGCGCGCAAGGCACGCACGAAGTGCAGGGCGGCGGGCCCGCTGGCGCTCACCTCCGTGAGGCTGGGCAGCGCGCGCATGATGGTGTACCACGAGCGCGACTCGGTCGCCATGAAGAGCTCGTGGTCGACGACCAGGCGCGTTACAGTGTTGCGCATGCCCGGCCAGGTGAACATGCGTTGTAAGATCGCCAGGTACTCGTTCCGGTTCTCCTCGTCCCAGAACACACCGAACTCGAGCATCTTGGGGAGAGCGCTGGTCCCGCCGCTTGGGAGGGAGAATATGGCGCCGAATCCGTCCTCGTTGGTCCCTCGGTAGGCGTGAATGGTGAGGCTCGTGAAGCCAGTCGTCTCCTCGACGAAAGACCGCCTGACATGCGGCTCCAGATCATGACCGACCCTGTTCAGGAAGTCGTTGAAAGGCGCCGTGTTGATCGCTGGCCGGTCGAAGAGCTCGCCCGAGACGATGAGGGACGCCGATGGAGGGAAGTCGATGATACCGACGAGCATCATGACGTTGTCGATACTTGACGAGAGCTCGAGATGCTCGAGCTTGTGGAGATGCAACGACTTGGCTTGATATGCCCCCGGATCGACGAACAGAGGGTGCGTATCATAGCTGTCCGTATCCCACTGGAATCGCTGGAGATGCGGCATTGCCGAGATGGTGGCAAGCATGTCGTCGACGGTCTCCCAGGAGCGACAGTAGTCGATGACCAGACTGGTAAGGGGAGCGCTGAAGAAGCTAGATCCGGGCGGGACAGGATTGCAGTCGAGGAGGTGTATAGAGCGCAAGTTCGGTGAAAGGACGCCTGAGAAGACATCGTCGGAGACCTGCATCATCCGAAGGTCGAGAACCTCAAGCATCGGCGTGGGCATCTTCATCAGTTCGCGCATAACGCCCAGAGCATTGTTGTACAGAGACGGCCAGTCCTTGCGAGTTGTCAGGTCCAGATGCATGTTGCAAGGTTCGCAGCTGAGGTAGAGATAGCGCGTACGAGCCATCTCGGGTTGAAGAACGGCCAGTAGCTCGTTGAAAGCAGCCAAGCATTGGATGTGTACGCGAAGCTCAAGAGGGCAGGCCTTGCTTCGAGCAATGATGGAGCTCAATTGCTTAGGGGTGAACCGACGTTGCCTCAGGAGTACGTATGTCCAGAGTTGCGGAGTGCTGTCGATGACATCTCTCCACTTGCGGCAGACGAGACGGAGGTCCGTGTCAATAAGCTCGTTGTGATCTTGATCCTCTAACGGCTGGATTGAAGCGGCGAAGATCATTGAGAGGACTTCGACCGGCAAAGAATGGATGGTTCCCTTTTCGGACGATCGGCCAGACTGAAACGCGGGATAAGCGACTATGACATTCGTGCATTCAGGGTCATACATACTGCGAACGATTGCTCCGCGGGCAGCCCGTGCGCAGCGGGATTGAGCGGTAGGTCTGCCGAATTCAGAGGTTGATAACTTGCGAGAGAGAGCTCTTGAATACTCTTCAAGCCCGCGACGCCGGGAGAGACGATCTCTTCATACTGAAGAGCCTGAGCGGATCCGAGAGATGCCATTCCAGTAGTTGAGCGGGGCTCAATTCAGGGAGATCGTGATGCTGGTTCCGGTCAAGGCGCAAAGGGATCGGTGACCCGCCTATATACCCCGCACGTGCACGGCCACTTTCAGGTTCCGAATTCGTCCCCTAATAGTGAGAAGGTATTGCTCGGCCACTATGGGAAACGGTGGAGAAGCTGGTGTACATGTGCTCCATACCCGCGCTGTAAGGCAGATCATCAATAGAGATTGTATTATCGTCTATTCGCGGATATACAGTGCATCGTTGGTAGGAAGGCATATCGGGGGTCGGACCGATGTCTCAGATCTATGAGTCGAGCAGAGCCTGTTTAAGGGATAGTATGGTAGCCAAGACAGGCTGAAAGTAGTCAAATTGGTATCACCCAGAGTCTGGGTCTTCTGCCTCCTCATCGGTTTCGTCGTCATTGGACTACCCGTGGTCGCCATAGTATAGGTTCCCCTGCGGTCGCCCGTCCCAGCCCACGCTCATGATGCCACGGTGAAGCCTCAACCGTGCAATGGTCGTAAGGTCTATATCGCATCGGTCCACCTGCACTTCGAGACGCAGCAATGGCCACTGAATGCGCCGATCGAGTGTCTTAGGAAGCATCGCGATGACCTTGGTACCAGCGTTCCTCACGCTCACTGGCTCATTGGCCGGAGATGCGACGCCAAAGGTGTAGACAACCAAAGGGCCATATTCGACCTCATGCAACGCACAGTGTAAGCAGGCGGATGATGAGTAGGCGGTCTGTAGCGGGGGAGGGAAACGCGCGAAGTATCGCAGCCATTACGTCGTTTGGCGCATGAAGAGACTATGGTAGAGATCCAAATGCGTCACGGCGCGGCTTATTTCCGTCAGGTTTGGCGACGTCTTCAGTATGAGTCTATAGTCGCATCGATGACTTCTCGCCAGGACTGGCATACACGGCTGTACACTGTCTCATGGGTGGGTGGTAACCGTGCGCTCCAGGCGGGTATGGATGGAACTTCGACGAGTATAAGCGGATACCAATACTCTCTCGGATTCTACGAGTTATTGTACGCATAGAGTGCCTGAGGAGTGTGCCGCGGCTAGAAGGTTCGTGTGCTCTATAGCCAGACAGCGGCCCTGCACTTTGAGTTGATGCCGGTCTTTCCGGAGGTGAAAGCGCCGCATCACGTTCAGGCAAGGCATGCGATAGTAAGGGTAGAAAGTACTGAGAAATGCCGGTTGTGATCCCGTAGCCTGAAATGTCGTCGTGTTGGTTCGAGGCAGAGATGCGAAAGCTTGATGTTGCACTCCGGAGATATCCGTAGCGTGTCACAGTTTCTCACCGTTACCGCTGCGGTCAGTTCCCGCAGTGCTTGACGCCATCGCTGTTCAACGTTCAACGTTCCACGTCCAGCTCAATTCATCCAACACGGCCTATACTTCCCACGTACATCTAGGGGGCCCGATAGTAACTTGCGACACTGCGACCATGTATAATACGTAAAGGTCTTCTTGTGCAGTGCCTCGTGAGGCCGCGAATCGCTGAGTGCTGAAGACAGTTCGATGTTCTCAACGGTGCCATGCCACTATCCAGTACGTCTACGGGAAAAGACTAAGAGGCTTCAATGCGATGTGCAAGGGTAAGGGTTGGAAAACAACAATGCCAAACGGCCGTACTACGCGGTCTCGGCCGCCTGATCCTCATCGTACTCGCCGTAACGTAGTTGACCATCCACTTGACCATCCCATTGCACGCCCTTAACTCCGGGATGAGACTCCACCCGCCTCAGGATGGGAGAGTCCACCTGGCATTGATGAATTCCCAGCTCGAGAGGTGGCAAGGACCGTTCAACCCGTCTGTCGAGGGTTCGGAGTAGCATCGCGACGACTCTCGCGTCGACGTTCTTCACAGTGATGCTCTCGAGGTTGCGGCCGAGAGCGCCCGAGGACGTGTGCAAAGCACGGAAGAGGAAGGCAGCGGCAGGTCCGCATACGTTGATGCCTGTGATAGCGGACAGCGGCTCCAGCAACTGTCGCCAGTGTATCTCGCTACGCAGGAACACAGCATGGTCGACGTTGAGGTGCACTGCGGATCTACCGATGCCGGGCCAGCCGAGGACTTCTTGCAGCATAAGCATGTATTCGTCGTGGCATTCCACGCCCCAACATGCACCGAACTCGAATTTGGTAGGACTACCCTGCTGGGCGGTGGGCGTCTCCATGACGGCGGTGAACCCGTCGACGTTCTCTTCTCGATACGGCAATATGGAGACCCGTTGGAAGCCTTGACCAGCATGCGGGAATGCTCTTCGAAGGCGTGGCTCGAAGGACGATTCCATCCCGTCGAGTAGATCCACGAAAGAGGGCGTGTTGTTCAGGGGTTCTTGCATAAGCTCACCCGCGATGACAAGGGTGGTTGAGCTCGGGATATTGAGGATGGGGATGATGCGTACTGCCTGTTCAATATCTATGCACAGGCTCAGGTATTGAAGTCGGGGTAGCGCCAAGGACTCGGGTTCATGAGCCTCCGGTTGCATAAACGGTGGCGCTATCGCACACGCGTCTGCGTCCCACTTGAAATGCTCGAGGTGAGGCAATGCGGTTAGAGCAATCAGCATATCATCGATAGTGTTCCAGCTGATGCAGAAGTCGATGCTCAGGTGGGTCAATGGAGAGCCAAAGAAGGCAGACGTGGGCGCGACATGGCTGCAGTCAATAAGCTCGACAGAGCGAAGCTTTCGGGGAATAATCCCCGAAAAGACATTGTCTGTGAAATTCAGGGTGTGTATGACGAGAGACTCCAATAGTGGCGCGTGCGTCTCCGAAAGCTGGTATATGAGGTCCAGAGCGCGGTCATAAAGATCCGGCCAATCGCTCCTAGTCGATAAGTCGCGATGCATGTTGCACGGCGCACAACTAAGCGAGAGCGTACGTGTACGCGACATGGCTGACAAGAGGAGAGGAAGTAGTCCTTCCGTTCCGGCCAAGCTCTGGACGTGTACTCGGAGGTGAAGGGGGCGTCCTCTACTGCGCCCAAGGAGTAGATGCAATTGATCAGGCTTAAGCCTTCGACGTCGTAAAACCACATGGGTCCATAGCTGCGGGGTAGAGTCGACAACATCCTTCCAAAAGCGGCATACAAGGCGTAAATTGAGGTGATTCGAGTGTCCATTGGGTTCCTGAGTTCCAGAGCGAAGTGTAGAAGAGGTCACGGTGAAGATAAGAGACACCACCTCGACAGGCAGCATGCGTATTGGTCCTTCCCCAGTTTGCCGAACTCCGAGTCGGTACGCGCCCACAATAGACATGATGAGCGGTGGGGATGGTGGTGGTTCAAGACAAGCCGCCTACTTAGGATATTCGGCTCTCCGCGCTTCCACCGCAGCTCGGGTGGCGCTAGCTCTCATGATCAGCGCTCGGCACCCAATTCACCCATTGCAGATACCCAGATGCTGTCAATTGGCATCCCCATATAGTTTCAAGCAGATATTCCCAGTCTAAGTCTACAGCCATCACGATAGGTATCTAATCAACCGGAAGCTCTTGGGGCTGGGCACAGTCAGGGGAGGTCGAAGCCGGCAGTATGCAGGATAGTCGCGAACTACAGAGACCTAGTCAGCGCTCGACTCATGGTGAAAAGCGTTCAGGACATACCTGGACTTTAGCAATCGACCGTGCTTGCTCGATGTCGTAGCCGACACGCTCGCTCAGATCACCTACAGGTGTGTTGAATCAGCTTTCCAATCAGGTGATGGATTGATAGATGTCCTCACCGCTGTTGTGATACATGGGGTCAGCGATGGGACCCGCACGTTCAAAGACTTGCGTGGCCGGGAAGCCTTGCGACCAGAACGACTGGTGATCGCTGCAGCAAGCCTAGAGCAAACAATGGAAACATAATTCCAATGCTTTGAAGCCCAGTGCTTACCGAAGAGTATCCAATCTTGAGCTCGGATGCGTACAATCCTGTGATGTTGGCCACCAGCTGAGTGACCTCAGGTGTGCCAATACTGACCGATCGTCAACGTCCGAAATAGAACGAGATTCAAGATGTGACATACGTTTCTGGGAGACCGAGTTGCATAGGTTCTCCGGGGACATGATACGCAGTCATGCTATACGAGTTTGAGTGAGGGAAGAGCAACAAATATCTCCACAAACACGTACTCTGCTTGGATCATGAGCGTGAGGTTCTTGCTCTCCTCCTTGAGATCCTCTGAAAACAGTCAATAATCGTCTACGGGCATGTGACAATACAAGACTTACTCGAGTAGTAACGAGAGCCATAGAGACCTTGCTCCTCACCGGCAAATGCCACGATCTCGACATTCGACCTGAAAGTGACGCCAGTCTTGCCAATTGTGCGTGCAATGTTGAGCACGCCAGTAGTACCGGAGCCGTCGTCATCAGCACCAGGAGCACGAGGGCTCCCGAAGGTGCCGCGACTGTCGTAGTGGCCGCTGATGAGCACTGTGCCAGTTGTGTTGACGGTGGACGGGTAACGGCTGAGTAGACGTGAGTCTCGAGAACAGATACAAGGAATATCAGATACGTACCAAATGACATTAGGAGCAAAGCCGATCAGGAAGGGACGCAACTCGCAGGTTGCGCCAGTGCTCTCGATCTCGTCCTTCAGCCAGTCGGCGGCTTGGCGAGAGCCCTCGGAGAACGAGTGGCGCGAGACGATAGGACTCTCGGGGTCCTCTCCCGACAGCCAACGGACGTCCGAGCGCATCTTTTGCACATCAATGCTCTCGACTAAGCGCGCCACGTCCGGGTTGAACTTGAGGTTGCTAAGTGCCGCGCGAACAGGGCCCAACAACTCTTCTGATGCAGGTGCAAGCGACGAGGGCGCAAACTCGAGCGGTTCGGAGGGAAGGGCGTATAGCTTCCACGTTGGGGGAAGGACATCCGAAAGTTGGTAAGCAAGCTGTTGGGGCAGTGCAAGGAGCGCGGTGCGCTCGGTCTGGTGGAGGAGCTTGTAGCTGGCTGGGAGCGCGAGTGCCTCCTGCGCAGAGTCCGACTTGTATTGGATCTCGCCAGACGGAACATCCAGAAGTTCCAAGTATGCGGTGACGCCTAATACCGAAGGCCATGGTCCGCTCAGCAGGTCGTAGTCGATAGCCGCCTCCTCGACCCACACGAGCGCATCGCCGTCATTCGGCGAGGGAGTCGATGCGTCGAACTTGCCAAGTAGGGAAGTCAGCCCGCGCTTGGTGTAGCAGTCCATACGCGGCATAAAGACACTGTGAGAGCCATAGGTACCCAGGTAGGACGTCTGGAGGCAGGGGTCGCTGTGAACTTCGGGCGAGGTGTGCGATAAGACGGTCAGCAGCGGGAGGCTGCTAGCGAGCTTGGGAATCATAGTTGTGGCTGAGTACAGGTATGTCCTAGGTCAGAGTTGGTCGTACTCCCTCAAAACAGCCCGACACACGTACCCTAATGATACCGTCCTCCTAGATACAGTGGTGGAGGAGTCCGCCAAGTACGAGCACCGAGGCGCACGACCGTGTCAACCCTCCGTTGATCCGCTCGGTGTTCAAACACGTCGGGCCGGTATAACCGGATTGCGCCTGATGGTCCCACTAGCGGGCAATATTCTGGACTTTAAAACTCAGAGACAACTACGATACAGAAAAATAAGCCAGGTCTCAAATACACAGGTCTGTGAGAGCTATGCTACATAGGCGTACTAATGTCGATATATTGTTCTTCCACTACTTCCGCTATTATTGAATGGACTGCTATTGATTGGACGCCATTTCTGCTTGTCTATCGACATTACATTATCAGATGAAGATTAGCCGGGTGTCGTGGCAAGCAGGCATACACTGACCGAGTGGCTTCCAGTGAACGTTCTCGTTTGGGTTTGCGCGGGGAAGTTTCGATTGAAGTCTCAACTTCGGTTGTTCTGGCGGTGCTGATGACTGTACTTGCGAGGTTATTGACGTCTCCACCTTGAGCGCACTCTGGTCCGATTGCGAAGTCGTTCGGGGCACTGTCTTATCGGTGTCTGGTCCAGTATATCTACCCGAAGGCAGTCCAAGGGCATCTGCCTGCACATGATCAGTCATCACTATATGATGTCCGTAAGTTCGTCAGTATGAAAGGGAAGACAGATTTGACTCACGAGGGGGAGGTGACGATCGTCCAACGTCTTCAGTAGGGGAGATACGCGAGTCTTCAACAAGCAGCAGTGGCATGTCTTTTGAGACTTGCTCTGATGAAGCAGCGCGGGACTCTGGCCATGAGTTGCTTAGGAAAGGGGGTGCAGGTGATGCTGGTCCACTGGGAGGGATGAGGTCGGTTCGAACTGTTTGACCGGTGCTGTTCGCCTCCCGTGACGCTTTGGACCCTCGTTTCACAATACTGAGCCTTTCATCCAACTCCTCCGCGATGGTCACGTCGTTCAGATCCTGCAGGATCTTCTGGCAGTCTGACAGTAACGTCTCGCGGTCAGCGCTATAAGCATAGACTTTCTTCTGCAGAACCGGGATGATGACAGTGCTCCAAGCCTTCAAGTAGTTCAAGCAGAGTGCTAGCAGAACAAAACCGATATCCGGCGATGATGCTGTCGGTTTCAATGGTATGCGAAGCGGGTCGAATCTTCGAGCTTTCGGAGGGCGGTCGTCTAAGGGCTCTTGAGGTATACGCACAGGTCAGACTGATGAACGACTCACGCAAGAGGAAAGGCAGATACTCCGCCGTGACTATACGCAGTTTTCTCATGGCCGCATACGCCAGAATACGATTGCCTCCCATCCAGTTGCGCAATTGGTCCTCGAAGGGCAGATCGCAAGCGAAGGCAAGTGCGACAACCTCAAGTGGTGCGAATACCCGACGCCGCCTTTCGAGAGCACGAAAGTCGGAGTTGAGCGCTTTTCGGCGTTTGACTCGAGATGACAGCATAGTCTTCGAGGATGCTCGAGGACACAAGGTTCGGTGACGGTTTCGTTTCCAGGACGTCGGTGGAGATGAGGATGCACGAAGGTGCATCCAGATCACCAGGTCGTATATATACGTGTTTCATGGGGGTTATTGTTGCGAATACCGTTTTGTGGTCCTTCAATTGAGGAGGAACGCAACCACAAGAGTCTGTCCCTTTTAGACTCAACACAAGGAGCATCATTCGTGGGCGCGCAAAGTCCTTTGCCTCGGCCATACAATGCAATTGTCGGCGTAGTGTATGCTCAAAGCGCACAGTATTTTGCACATCGCTCGGGGAAGCATGATGGCGGTCAGAAGCAAGACGCGTTCACGACGCGAGTTCGACAAACGCGTCGACTTCAACCTGCGACCACCATGTCGCTTGACGCGCAGATCGACAGACTTAGCCATGCGGCGCGTACAATTCGGGACTCTTCGTCTTCTCTGACTCCTCTTGCCGAACCTGGGCCGTACACGCACGCTCTACTTCACGCTGACCTCGGCGATCTCATCCGCGACATTGATCCGTCTGAACTCGGTCTCTTCACTCTCGTTCAACCACCTGCAGCACCGCGACCCGAATCAAATATTGCACCACTACCGGAGGTTGCGCGCATCGATATTGTGAGCGCGACGCCTCTGCGCAAACCGCCCGCTCCGAGACCGGATGCTCCCCGCGGAGGCGCGCCTGGAGAACATGAACCGGAAGTGTACGCTCGGGCTGCGCTGAACTTCATCGACAAATAGTCAGTATGCATGTGATATGTCCTACTCTGAATATAATCCTAACAGCGACTAGTGCATCCATCCGCCCGATGCCTCGAGCACGCGGCCAAGTCGTCGCGATGTTGGAGCAACTTGAAGAGATCCGGGCAGATATACACTCCCTGAACGACGCACTCCGCCAAGTTTGTGTTGTTTCTCTGAATATTGAGTCTTTGCCAATCGTTAAGTAAGGCCAACGCAGGAGGCGCATCGAGAGACGGACCGTCTGCCCACGATCTCGTCGAGAAAGAGAAGAGACGCATACAAGAACTCCAAGCGCAAGTGAAGGAGATGCAGCAACGCGTACGTTGCATTCATAATTTGATAGTGGCATATGATCTAACATACACTAGAAAGACGATCTTCAGCGCAAGCGACCTTCCGCCCGTGCTGCGCCCTCACCTCGCAAGCCATTACCAACGCGTTCGCCGCGGAAGCCGATGTCGCATAAGAATGACATCCACGAGGATTCGTTCTGGGCCACACCCGCTAGCAGGCTCGCGCCCGCTCCCAAATCAGGCGGGATGCTCATGGACGAGTCGTTCGATGTAGCTGATGTGACGACTTCATTCGACAGTCCACTGGCGCACCGTACACCCTCAGCTCGGCATGGCCAGCCTTCAGGTGGCTTCCTGCGCATGGGTGCGCTTGGCACACCCGACGATGTTGAAGACGAAGATGTAGAGGTTGTGCCTGATTCTAGCGGCGACGTTGAAGAGGAGCCTGAACCGGAGGAGGATGAGGAAGAGGAGACTGAGGACGCCACTGCCGTTCTGCCCAAACCACCTCCCACTGAGCCTTCGATGACCTCGCCTGGATCTGATGCAAGCTCGTCTCTCATCGAGATAGAGCCCACCACGCCGCTCCCAGCCGCTATACAGCAGACCCCAAGCAAGCCTCATGTTCGGGTTACGTCGGAGTTGGAACGAATCGTCGTATGTCATGTCTCCAGGCCTTTCCGCTGCCAGACCAACATATATTCCTGCAGACAAGAATATGGGCCACAGTCGGCGACATCATCATGCCACGTAATCCATATAGCGTTGACGGCGACAACAGGCCGCCAAGAGCGAAGGTCACGATGTACGCTCTCTGCACATTGTATCACTGTTCCAGTGCTCATCCCTTGGCACAGTGCTCATCTGAAGGACGTTGCCGCGCAGACTCCTCAGCCAACGAGCCCCAGTGCATCCTCAATAACGTCTGAATCGCAACCAGGAGCTGCGGAGATTACTCCTCAACAAGTGCTCACTGCTCAGATGCTCCTTGCGCTCCTCTCCGCGCCACCATCGTTCTCACTGCCTCTCAATGAAGTGAAGAAGGCACTGGGTGTACCCGTAGGCGCAGGGCCGCGGGTATCGACTGTGGGCGCCGGAGCTCTTGCGACGAGAGTCATATATGGCTCAGTGGCGAAGCGGTTGATCAAAATCGAGCGAGGAGGGCGCGAACAGGTTGTGAGGTTTGACCTTGATTGAGCAACCTCCGGAGCCCCAGCTCGATGATGTTGCTGTTGTACGATGTCTTGTCAATGTTTGAGAACCTTGCGCGCTTATCGTCGGCCTTCCAGACGTGAACATCATGTCATTCATTCATCAATGTTAGATGCATCTGAAAGATACCCGGATAGGACCAAGAATACACCACAAGAAATAGAGAAGCCCTAATAAACCCCAAGAACCAAAGAAGAAGAGTCGTATACGCCTTATTTCTTACGTCCGAGATACACCGAAGTTGGTCCCTGCACTGCTCAAGGGCAGAAGGTGATGGTGTAGTCGGGGCCAACGCCGTTTTGGAGCGCGCAGGTGAAGAGCGCCGTACCGGAACTCTCGTCGAAAGCGTACACATACGAGTCGGGGCACGCGTCCTTGAAGTACGAGTAGTAGTCCACGCCCGACGGCGGGCACGTCGCAGCAGCTGGTGGGAAAGCCAGCATACGTAAGCAGCTGTTAGTCAAGAGGGAGAGACGCACTGTTCTGGTTGCCAGAGCAGCAGTTGTTGGTGCCGCCAAGAGCATCGCACGCCGACTTGCAGCCAACAGGGAAGCCCGAGCTATCGTACGGGCCCTTCAGTGCAGCGGGACAGTCGGGACCGAGGTCGACCGGGCATGAGCCGACGGGGCAGCCGTACGTGTTGTCAATGCGGATGGGCAGGTTGTAGCCGTCGACAAGGGAGACGTCGTAGTTGTCCGGGACAGCGGGGTTGGTCGAGAGTGTGAACTCGGCGAGCGAGGCGGGTGGTACGCCGGTGCCACCGTTGTTGACATCGCAGACTAGTCCACCGTTGCAGCCGCCGTCGAGGCCTGAGGGTCACACTGTGAGGTTCCAGACATAGATGAGCGAAGGGGAGGGCTTACATGAGTTTGGTCCCGGGTTGGTGCTGAAGTCACAATCACGGCGAGCCCAGAAACGACCTGCCGAATGTATGTCATGCCTCCCGTCTAGGACCATTGAGAGGCTTGCGAGAGAAGCCTACCTGATTCCCAGTTGTCTGGCACGCCAAACGATACGGTCTGATAAGCAGCCTGCTCCCATCTAGATAGACAACACGTCAGTATATGTGTTTGAGCGTCTAACTGATGAGACGACTTGCCCAGAGGCGATGGTTGGGGTAGCTGCGTTGAGAGAGGGTTCTGCGAACCAGGCAGGCCAGATCGTGAATGGACATTGGTTGTAGATCGTGAAAAGACGGGCTTGTGCGCCAGAAGCAAGAGCGGCGGCTGTAGCAACAGAGACAAACGTCGACTTCATCCTGATACAAGAGAGCTGAGTGACCGGGGGAAGTGAGGTATCAGTGACCCAGTGAAGCGGGTATTTATATCCCTTGTGCTCTCGAGAGCGTAATCGAGAATTATAAAGACTCCTCCAGGTTGGATGGAAGAACCGTCGAAATCAAAGATGGGCCTGTTTTCGTGATTCTGAATGTGTCTGTGCTGTAGTGAGTTCCTGCAGCATATGGCGCTGGCCGACCGATTGCCGGGGTTTCCTACTGTGAACGCATGGTCGGCCAGTCGCTGATAGGCGTTGACCGGGGGCCTAGAGGTCGCACAATATAGACGTGGCTGTCCGAAAACCGAGAGATGCGACAGCATAGCATGCCAATTCCAATTGCACTTATCGCAGGATGGCCGAGGGGGTTCTGGGTTCAAAGCAGGGTTGGCCTCCAGACTCACATCACCAACCATACGACGTATGGCCACGTATCGACGATGTGTAGTTCGTGATGTAAGTAAGGGATGAAGGCGCGCGTAGAGAACTTTCAGGCCGATGCCTGGAGGTGATGTACTCCAGGAGCATCAAGAAGGATACGGCGGGCCTTCTTTGCAATCAACTTGAAGAGCAACTGACAGGATACCTGCATTTGCGGCCGCAAGTGCTACCGGCGTTTCGTACGGGATCAGGATGGCAGCTAAGCCGTCTTGGACGTCCACGGTCCGGGACAGCTTTCTGGCGAGGTCCACGGCTATCCACGTTGCAAGAGGAGTCCCCGCTGTGAGTCGCAGTCAGTTCATATAAGAAGCCCATTCAAACGTCCACAAGCATCTCCGGTTAAAGTGGCTTGCCGTACATTCCCCGCGTGCCCATGGACGGTTCGCTATGCGTGATTTCGCCGAGTCTTGTATGCTTGAGCAATGAGCGAGCAGTTTCAAAGCTCCTCCACCACAATTGCGAGGTACTGTTGAGATTCGAGGAGGACAATGACAGTCTGATGTCAGGCGTCGCTTCGGAACACTCAAACTTCCTGATACTCAGAGCGGGACATGATAGAGGCAGCTTTTGATGAAGTTTGTGACGATCGGCAATGCTAAGTAGACGGTATCGGTGGCACCCGGTGGTGGGTTGAGCCAAGCGTCGGGCATCGTAAAGCCTGACTTTTCGGACCGATGTCGATCTTCCCGCGCTTCACACGAGGCTCAGCATGACGTTCACATAAAAAACCGGGCACACAGCAATGTTTAATGCCAACAGTCTCGACGTCGCGGCTGGCGCCGCTGCAATAATCCAATGATAGAAACTACGTAGAACCTAAGATACACCAAAGAAATCCAAATGAGGAAACGAGATTACACGCCCTGCCTGGCTAGTTCGAAGGACATTCCAACTTAAAAATCCAATTTCTCATGATCAAGGGCAGAAGGTGATGGTGTAGTCGGGACCGACGCCGTTTTGAAGCGAGCAGGTGAAGAGCGCCGTGCCGGAGCTCTCATCGTAGGCGTATACGTACGAGTCGGGGCAGTTGTCCTTGAAGTAGGAGTAGTAATCGACACCCGACGGCGGGCACGTCGCAGCGGCTGAAAAAGGTCAGTAAACGTGAGAGTTTATGACAATGTAGAGATCGTACTATTATCACCGTTAGTGCAGCAGTTGTTGTCGCCACCGAGAGCGTCGCACGCTGACTTGCAGCCGACAGGGAAGCCCGAACTGTCATACGGACCCTGGAGCGCTGCAGGACAGTCGGGGCCGAGATCAACCGGGCATGAGCCGACGGGGCAACCGTACGTGTTGTCGATGCGGATGGGCAGGTTATAACCGTCAACGAGGGATACATCGTAGTTGTCGGGAACACTGGGGTTGGTCGAAAGCGTGAATTCGGCTAGCGAGGCGGGAGGAACACCCGTTCCGCCGTTATTGACGTCGCAGACCAATCCTCCATTGCAGCCGCCGTCGATGCCTATTGTCGGGAAAAGAATCAGGCAACTGTTTCCGGAGATGCTCCGATGAACGCGACGGCTTACACGACGTCGGGCCTTGAACACTAGAGAAGTCACAGTCGCGACGACCCCAGATGCGGCCGGAAACCCAGTTGTCGGGAACACCGAACGAGACGGTCTGGTAAGCAGCTTGCTCCCAGCTGTGAAGGGAACGTAGCTTCAGTCGTCAGAACTTCTCTCCGATAAGATGACATACCCAGCGGCTTGTGTGGGGGTGGCGGCGTTAAGGGCCGGAGGTGCGAACCATGCAGGCCAGATGGTGAACGGGCACTGATTGTAGACGGTGAAGAGACGAGCTTGCGCGCCGGAGGCGAGTGCCGCAGCCGTGGCAACTGAGATAAACGTCGATTTCATGGTGATCGCAAGAAAGTGCAATAAGCTTGAGCTTGAGATGAGAGACCTGGCGGTGAGGTCAAAGCGGCATCGCCTGGAAGGTATTTATACCTCTTGAGGCCAGCGCGTCAGAGAACCCGGCGCTCTCCTTGGTCGCCGCCTATAGGAACCTTGAGGTATAACAGCCCATGTGGGCACGTAGCCGATACACAAGCTTGTGGTCCTTGTCGAATAGAGGTCTGAGACGGGTCTGGAGAAGCGCAAGCATCACAGATGGGCCTGGCAGGCTGCCTACCAACGTGATTCCGAGCATGTTGAACTCCGTAGAGATTCCGAGCTGCATGCGGTTCCGCTTGAATTCTCGCCGCTTTTCCCTGCTGCGCGCACATGGTAGATAGTGGCTGAACAGAGGCCAAAAACAGCCCAGAGCTCGTGTGGTACAGGCGAGACATCGTACCAGGTAAGCACCGTGATCGTGTACGCGCTGATCCCGGCTTGACCGAGAGAACCATAGTCATGATGTCAATATGCCGTGAACATCACTGAGTACTGTTTTCCACTGTTGAGTTGAGAAGAGCTCAACAGCAACCTAAACTGGGTCCCCCGCCCATGGTCAGTGTCGGCTTATAGGCGTCAGGTGAACTGTGCTCACTGGTAACCTATCTTGTATGAGATCCAAGGTGTTTCTCGGATAGGTACCACGCTTTGCGGAGAGGCACGGCGTCGAAGTCCGAGTACAACACCTGATTGTTCCCATCGTATAGTAGGTACGCATCAGTATGTCATGCATAGTGGTACGGCAGACTCGCGGCTCGGATGAGTATTCTTAGACCGTTAAAGCTGATAGTTAAAGCTGATAGTCCGCCCGGTCTGATCATGTGTAGCCGTAAAGTTGATTCACTAGGGCAGCCTGGGTCGTCCAGATAAGTATGTGCCGAGCTCGACGCGTGCCATCTTCCGACGGCATGAGCACGGAGTGAGGCATGGACTGACTGTCAGGCCACTCGAAGCAGACCACTTGTCGAACGCCCACCACATGCTTCCTCAAGTCGTGCATTTGCCGGTACAACGCTACAGCTCCAGCTAGTTCGCACACAGTATATCCTCAAGTACAACGAGTGAAGTTAGTGAAGGCGGCTTCGGATTCGGTGTCATGGTCGTCGTACACGAAGTAGACCTCGAACCCGCGACGGCCGCGATGCGCGACTGAACGCGTGGGAAGTTGTCGCGCGGCCGAGCACTTGGCGACGGCCGCGGCGGGGCGTCTCGTCCTGCATGCGTTCCCCTGTGTCGTGATGGACTCATGCATCCTGCGATCCTCCTGGCGTTGTACACTTCCGGATACCGTGGTACAAGAACATGCGATTGGATGAGCATATCCTAGCGAAGAGGGGAAATGCCTGAGTACACGATGACGGCCCGCACCTCGCGTCGCCTGCGATGTTGGGCGCAAGCCTTCTGTCGGCGCGACCGCAGCCGAGGTGTGCGCGTGGCGACGTTTGAAACTGAATGCATACTGCGGAAGCGGCGCCCTATAGTGAATACGAACACTAACACCCCATCCTGATCTCGAACGCGCGGGCACACGGAGGTCGAAATAGACCGCATTTACTGCGTTGTGCCAGCACCAGGGTCTGCCCCCCAGCAGTGGGCTTCAGGCTTCAAGCCCGCATAGACTCGACTACAATGCTGTCTCATACAACAACCGCAAAGCAGTGGCAACCGCTGTCTGGAGCCTTGAAGTTTACTGGTTCACTCGCATCATACCGTCCACGCCATATACGCCACTTCGTCGCCCTTTTCGCATTCCCTGCATGTCTGTGGCTTCTCTGGCGTCTCTCTCGTAACCCTGGGAACTATGCGTACTTGCGAAGTGCATCGATCAGCAAGTTTCAGCGCGGTGGCGATCCGCCAAATTACTACAAGTGGCACGAGCAAGAGAAGGCGATGCCACAGAATGACCCGGACCTACCGCCGCCGCAAGGGAGGGAGGGAAGGTATTTGCGCTTTAAGAACCACCTGGCAAGTACGTGGCTGATTTCCCGCTCTATACTCCTGATATAACCGAGGTCTAGATGTTGGATGGGGGAACTCAATGCAGGAGATGATTGCAAATCATCATTTGGCGTACCAATCGAAAAGAATGTACGCTGTTCCATGATGGCGCGTCGCGCATGAGCAATTTATGCCAGGTACTGATACCGCTAGGCCAGCTTTGTGATGTATAACTTTACTTGGGATAAGCATACCGACAGCGATTACTCACAATTCGAAGACCACAAGATCCCTGCGCGCATTCCTATCTCCGCTCTCGTTGCAGGTACGTACTGAGCGTCTACCGTACTCAGTCTCTCATCGTGAACCGCTCTTCAGGTCCTCTCGCTGGTGGCGAGTACCCCATGTCTCAGTGGCGCCCACCAGCAGTGACCACCGAATTCTTCGACCTTATCTGCCCTCACCCAACAATTGTACACGTCGACAACACGAAATCTGCCTTCAACCTCTCCGACGCAACCGCTGTGACCATCTTCAACACGTTCACAGCGCAACTGAACGCCATTGAGGACAACTGCGTCGAACTACAGGAAGACAGCGGACAGATACTGGACTTCTTCATATTCGGCTCGGGAGCGCGCATGGCCGATTTATGGCGTCCATTGCTGAGTTCGCCTGTGCTCACGGGCTGGGAGTGGTCGTCGCTCGTTACATCGATAGTTACGCAGAACCGCGCTCTTATTCACCCAGCGATAGCGCTCAACGACGCGTCTCAACGAGGGGAACTTAAGGGGCTGCTTGCGCTGCATCTCAGGAGGGGGGACTTCAAAGGCCATTGCGAGAATCTATCGAATTGGCGATGGGGTTACAACGCGTTCAACGTGCATCCCAACTTCCCCGATCAGCTCGAGGCACCGCCAGGCGGTGGCGGAGGAAGCCATACGGACGAGACTCTCGGCTGGTATAACGACCACTGTTACCCGGAGATCCCGCGGATCGTCGAGCGCGTCAAAGAGTTCCGCGCAGACGCGGAGGGCCAGGGGCGGGCGCTGAACCGGATATACGTGCTCACGAACGGGGATAGAGAGTGGATCAGCAAGTTGAAAGTGGCACTGGACATGGCAGGGAAATGGGAAAGTGTCACGACAAGCAGGGATCTGGACATTGATTGGGATCAGGAGTTCGTGAAGCAAGCGGCCGATATGTTCATAGCGACAAGGGCGGAAGTGTTTGCGGGGAATGCTGTACGTTCTCTTCACCCATTCCTTCCGTGTTCGAGCTGACGACAATCTAGTGGTCGAGCCTGAGTTCGAATGTCAATCTCCTGCGCGTTTCGCAGAATCATGACCCCGAAACATCGCGATTTTGGTAGTGGCGCCTCTCTTCTATACCGTCCTTGCCCATCGGGTGTTCGGGAAAGGCTATCGGGGACATCGCACACGCCCTTTGCGTCAAGTTTCGCCGAGACTCAAGTTTGTTACTGTGTCGACCTCCGAGGTCCGATACACGAGCAGGCTAGTCCATAAGATTAAGCCCTAGGGCCAGAGCCGAGGGTCGACGATATGCTGTATTTGAGTGCATGCTTCATGAAATGTATGATACGTCGACGTGATACGCAAAGTGTCCGGTGGCTCACTGCTGTAGCAGGTACTCCTGTACATGCACCTTGCTTGAAGCACCGAACGGCTACGCTGGCGAACGTTCGGACTGCGACCGTGGGAAGCACGGCGGCCGGAGTCCAACACGGTCAGCTGACTTGAAGCAAGTTGAAGAGCTGATTTATCGCAGTCTCGAGTCCCGACGTCTGCTGTCAAAACAAACACAAGCAAGCACGCATGCAGAACATGAGAACGTCTCTCTCTGAGGCTAAGACCATCCAGACGTATTCGCATGCGCAACTACGTATCAGTCTTATCACCCGCACCCGCAAAACTCCGGCTCAACTTGGGCTCAACACCCACCAAGCATTGCGCTATCGCCTTTGAGAGACGCGTCACGAAGGCAATATCTGACACGGTAATCAGCGCGGAGCTATTCTGGCGCTGTGTATAACTCAGAACCCTGTCAGTCCTTGCTTCTGAATCTTCTCGCAACTGCCACTCGTCGTTGATTGACGGAGCTTATAGGGTTTATGGCATGATGATTCACTCGTATAACTAGTACAGGAGCATGTTACTACATGCAAGAACGTGGAATTGCATTGCACCTTATTTCGCAAGTAATCGTCCTATATCACAGACAGTATCTATCCTGCTGCTAGCGCCGCACGGTGTTGTCTTGAAAATTGACAATCCTCTGCGAGCAGAGACGTCAGCCACAGATGTCAGGGAGTATCAAAGCAGGCAACTTACGAATCTGCTCAAAAGGAGTCCGAGGCAGGACTCCAAGTTATCCCACAAATACACCCTCCTCTCACCGCGCACAAAAGCCTCAGGCTTCTCGTAGCGTTCGATTCTATCTTTGAGAGGGCAGATGGCCTTACCGGCAGGCAGGACTTCTCCGTAAATAACCTTGTCCTTGTTAGCTGATTGCGAGATAATCTTCTGCATTATGTACTCGGCACCGGATGGTGAGAGCAACGGCCCTGCAACGAAGAAGACCACCAGCTTTTTTAAGTCAGAGACAGTGAACAGGCTCCGACGTCCTATGGGGTCTCCTACACAAGATACGATACATCGATCTGCTCTCTCAGAGTAACTGGTGACCCCTTCCGCCGTTATGTCAAGGAATGGGGTGCCATTTTCGCCCAACAATATGCGTCGAGAGAATGCAATCAGTCGACGGCCTGGCACAATGTCACGCCCGAACCCTCTGATGGAGGTCTCGCCGATACATTGTAGCCGCCATTTTGGGCCCTGCGTTGTTTTATACCCGGTCGAAATGCGTTCGTGGTGAGATGCTAGAACGAAGGTGAAGTTGATCGACTGTGACTGCGACGGATGGGGCCGAAGAGCGCTATGTTGTTCTGCTCGAGGTTGATTCTGGCGGGGTTCGGGCCGGGGCACTGGATGGCTCATGAATGCAGTGGTCAGTGCCAAAATTAAAAGGACGCACTGATACTCGGGACATGGCATTGTCCTTCGCTGACGTTGTCGTAATACCTTCCATCGGCCCATCCCGGAGAGAAGATACGGTTGAAGTCAGACATACGGGCTACGAAACCGTTGAGGAGGGTGCTCATTTTGATCGGAGATCTGGAGGCCTTAAGTACATGCCGCGTGGGCTGTGGTTCGAAAGACTGACCTTTGCAACCATGACAGAAGAACATACAACAAAAGATCGACGGAGGCGACGCTGAGCGCTGTGGTCGATACCGCCGGGCAACTGGAGGTCCAAGTTGACCACTTCGGAGCTACAGTGACAAAAGACGGGGGACCATGCTCTCGCATGGCCACCGTTGCCTGCTTTGGCATTGGGAGCCGTGCGATATGGCATTAAACCACCTGGAAGGGTGGTCATCTGAAATTAACAGGAACATTCAACAGTTAGACGAAGGCAGCATCCGTTGAGTCCAAGCGTAGCTTCGGATACGGATATGATATTCGCCACTCGGCTCACTGGATTGTATATTCCCATCTAGTAGATTATTGAGCGCGGCGTAAACCGTTCCCGCCATCGCGCGTGACATGCCCTGGGTTATCTCGGGAGTTAAGAAAGGTACCGTTCCCTCGGGCTCGACGGATGCGGGGTTGCGCGACCATGCAAGTGCCACAGCGACTGTCAAGCGTGATACCCCATACCGTGATCCAATTCTCCGTTGATTGTTATGCACAGAACTAGTTGAAGAAGTGCCAGAACCTCAGGGTGGACAAGGAAAGGAATGGTCCAAAGCAGGGTCGCGAGTTGTGCAGGTTCGAAGCAGTGCGGCGGTCATTGGCATCAAGGCGATACGTTCTCTGCCTGTCATGCGGTCGAGAACGGAGATGACGCGATGACTTGCCCGCTGTTTATTCCTGAATGGGCGTTGCTTCCCGTCGCTGCTTCTCGCTGTGTAGATGATCATAGTGATGCTGGTGCGAGGATCATCCACGGAGGACGTGGTGGTCGACGTCCAAGCGGTGACGCGGGATGCGCAGCTGAGCCATCAGCTCGTCGCGACGCGTGGGAAGGCATGGCGCGCTCAGGCAGGGCAAACCCGAGTACGCGTCTTACGACGAGCACCGGGACACTGTGGACGCGTCGGAGAAGTTGGTTGAGCGGATAGCGTTCTAGCGCCCGAAGCTTGAGAGAGTTTGGAGGGTACAGTGATCGCCGAGAGTCCTGATCGCGACTGCTCAACCCACTGCTTGACCTGCTACTTCTTGCTTGCTTATCTGCTCTTTAATGGTGCTGTCGCCGAGTCGGCCGACGACGCCTGGCAGGACCGGTGTCTGGGAGCCGCTGCCAGCGTTTATATACGGATATGCGGTCCACCCGCTCTCGCCCTCCCATCGGGACACGCGCATCTCGCACCGGCCGCGGCTGTCGACGGTGACGGAGAGCAGCGTGGGAGAGTCGTCGTTCCTGCACCGGGACGTGGTGTCGCTGGAGGTGGGCGACGAGGTGTACGCCTTTGAGCGGTATAATGGGCGGGAGGGCGAGTGGTACCGCGGCTACGTCGTCTGCACGACGAGGAGACCGGCCGTGGTGTGGAACGCGGTCGACGCCGGCCCGAAGCTGGAGGAGGCACAGCAGGTGTTTATTGGAATATTCCCGGCTTCGCACATCCACCGCCGCGACGAGCTGCCGGACGCAGAGGGCCGCCTCGCGCTCGTCGCCCAGGAGTTCGCCCAGGGAAAGCGCCCGCCGCCGTCGATCATCGACGACAGGGAGAGCCGCAAGAGCTTCAAGCTCGGCCCGCCTCCCGATCAGGCGGGCTCCTCCCGCGCCGGCCTCTCGGTCTACCCGGCCAGCGTACGGAGCGCGTCCCCAGAGAGCCATCTCGCCGGCAAACCCCTCCCGCCCAGGCCGACGCTCAAGCCGGGAGACGAGACCGAGAGCGGGGCGCTGCAGCCGATCGTGGACGAGATTGCGAGCGCGCTCAGGGAATGGCATATGCTCATGTTTCAATACCTCGCAAGACGCGACTACACAAAGTTCAATATCGTCAAGGACCATATCGACGCTCTGCATCTCGCCCGACGGCAGCTCCTGGCCAATACACTCAGCGCAGAAGAAACGGCCGCTCTACGCGCAGAATGTGTTACCCGTCTCGTAGCTGGCAACCTCGTACAAGGTCAAGACGTCATCGTCCGCCACCCTCAAGGCGGAGGTCTGGTAACCGTCGACGTCGAAGGCGAGCTCGACCCCCGAAATTGGATGTCTACAGTCCGGATGTTCGCCCTCCAAGCCTCTCTAGCCTACATGTCCCCCGACTCCGCGAAACCTGCTCTACCCTCCCCAACACCCATGCGAACACAAGCGAGCTTCGAGAACTTGTCCTCCGTACCCTTGCCAACCCCAGCGCTCAGCGCCTTCCCCGAGTTCGCCGGGCGCTCTCCCGTGCCAAAGTCCGCGGGCGTAACGAGTCCGAGGTCTTTCGGACCTGGGACGCCCATAGACTCGCCTATCACGTCTTCGTCACCCGATGCAGTCAAATTCTTCCACGTCTTCCTCGAATTACGCGCGTTCGTCGCTAGCCCGTGCGCACCGGGAGAGACAGCCGAGCTGTTCTTCTCGCTGTACAATAAACACGATGCCCGATTCGTGACGGAGGAGTTCTGCGCCGTGCTCAACCATAATGGGGTCATGGCGCGCGATCCAACATCGCGAGTACGAACCCTCTTCGCGGAGCTCGCACCAAGCGATGTCGAGCACCCTCTGTTCCTCGTCTGTCGCATCGTGCGGAACGGTGCTCTGAGGATGGGAAACGCTGCATCGAGCTCTGAGCTGAACCGACGAACTTCCGGCTCGGTGTACAACGAGAAGGATGGGCTTGGACCCGAGGGCATCACCAGTCCTCGTCTAGGCGGCGGGAAAGAGCTCAATGGCAGTGGCGCTGAAGCACCTTTCCGGCGACCCTTCGGCTGTGCAGTGCTCGAACTCAGCCAACTAGGGAGGATGGGCCCAGACCAGGACTCCAGTGCTACGAGGGAGTACACGATGCCCATATTCAGCCCCGTCAATGAGGCCATCTTCTCCATGCTTCATCAAGATATCATCGCTGGGAACAACAGGGAGTTCGAGAAGACGAATAGGTATGCACTATTCTTTAGTTGCGCTGCGTATAGTGTTGTATTAACCTTTCTCGCTTTCATAGGGCAGACCACATGGCCGTATCCATCAAAGTCTTCCACGGCAACACAGACCGTATTACACGCGAAAACACCACTCTCCTCCAAGACACTCCGCGCACACTGCGCCTTGGCTTTGCGGACGTTGTATTCCCCGGCGATACGCGCAACGAGCTCTACATCAAGCTCTGGTCAGGCGAATTCCCCTCCGCACGAGACAAGTCCGTCCGCGGCTCCGTATCGCCCTTTGTCCCGCGAGCAGGCAACGGCGGTGGAACGAACAACATTCAGGTCTCCCTTGAAATTCGAGATGGAGAAGGGAAGCCGATCCCGGACGCACTGTGTGCGGGCGCAGGTCAACCGCCTATCCAGACCTTCCACTCTCTGGTGTTCGCGCGCAACTCGCAACCCACTTTCGGCGAATTGATCAAAGTTGCCCTTCCGCACCGCGCACTCCCGCGGTGGCACCTCTTCTTCACGTTCCGCCAACGTCGCCCGGGCTCAACGTCCACCCTCGATCGCCCCTTCGCGTTCGCGTTCTTACCGCTCAGCATGAAAGGCGCGCATACGTTCTTGGAAGATGGAGGACACACGCTCGTGTTGTATAGAGCGGATAAGATGGCCCAGTTGACGCCGGACATATACCTTGATGCCCCGAGCGCTCTACCGCCAGATGGGCGCGAGATGCAGCCGATCCCTCCTGATATGGCTCGTATCGCGCCGGCGTTGCGCGACGTGCTCGTCATTCGTTCCTCGCTCTGCTCCGCGCGACATACGCAGAACACGGTGCTGCTCAGCCTGCTACACTGGCAAGCACTTCAAACCGACCCTCCCTTGCTCAAGGACGCCCTCGCGAAGTTCACGTTCGTCAACCCCGTGGAGATCGTCAAGTTCCTGAGGGACGTGTTCGACGCGCTGTTCGAAATAATGACGTCTCAGGCGAACGCCGATATGAGCAACGGGATGGATCCGCCGGCGTTCGACGCGCTTGTAACCGTTCTCGGTATCGTGCAAGATCGGCGCTTCTCCAACTTCAGACCTGTACTGGACGTATACATCCGCGAGCACTTCCACCACCCTCTCGCCGGTGGCCATCTCCTCCAGAGCCTCAACAGACTTCTGCTGAACCCTACGTCAAACGAGACTGCTTCACAACTACGCGCAGCGCTCAAAGTCTGGCCACATATCTTCGCACTGATCGCACGCGCAAGGGAGCTGCAGAAGGAGAGGGACTCGAATGTCGGCGCAGCGGCTACAGCCGACCATCTGGAGCATCAGTACCGTCGCGAGCTGAAGAACCATCTAAGCGAAGTGGGACGCATGATGAGCACCTCATCACCACCGAGCATCATCGGCCAGCAAACCCTCGCACTCCGCACCTTCCCCAAGGTCTTACCCGCACTCGGCGGTGCATTCCAGCCTCTCGAACTTGTGGGTCTTGCGGTACAATTTGCGAATGCGCTTCCGGGTAGTCAGGAAAAGGGAAAGCTGGCCATCGAGAAGTTGGTGCTGTATCTGAAGCTGGTCAAATCGAGCCTGTTCACGGATCAGCAGGCGCGCGCGGCGTTGGTCGAGACGGTCGTCATATGGTTGAAGCCGCACTGTGGAGCGTTCGAGACGCATGCGAGGGCGTTGGGGTTGGACGAGGAGGACGCGCCGGAGGGAAGTGCGAGGAGAGATGCCGCGAGGGTTGGATGGTTGGAGAGGATACGGCTCTGCGTGGGAATCGTGGCTGTCATGCTCGATGCTTTACAGGCGAAACTCGTGGACCCGGCTATTGCGTCCGATCGGAGGGCGCTGAGGCAGGAACAGGACAATGTCGAGTTCTTGCTATCTCTGCTGCCGAGGTTGCTCGAGAGTTACGCGGAGTTTACGGACGCAAGGAATGCGAGCGCTTTGGAGAGGACGAGGGGCAGCGCGACGGCCCCGGCGAGCGTACCGGTTATATTCCCCGAGAGCTACCCCTTCAGCCTCGTCGCGTTCCTGCCGGGATCAACAACAGGCCTGTTCAGCCCCGCTCAGAGCGAGACCGCAGTTGTACTGCTCGCGCTGATCCTGAGCAGCCCCAAGAAACACCTCGTGAACTTCTTCGACAGCATCCTGGAGATCGAAGGACGATTGCACTTTTCGAGGTTGTTGAGGGCGCTATTCGACGCTGGCAAGAGCATGCTCGACAACGCCGCTTGGCCCCGCAACTGGCTGAACGTCAATATCCTTGCTCACAAAGTGCTCGTGCGCGCAATGGACGCCGCGTCTGTGCTCCTCGTGCGCTCGTTCGTCCCCGGCCAGTCGCCCGATGGCGAGGACTTCCCGTTCGATAGGGAGCTATGGACGGAGGGACTGCAGATGCTGCTCAAGTTGCTGAGCAGCGATCAGCTGTTGATCGAGGAGCTTACGAGCCAGAAGAGGAGGGCGGTGTGGAGGCTGGCGGGAGATATTCGTGGAGATGGCGCGGCTATCTTGCTCGTGCTATGGGATGCGCTCGGGTTGCCGGAGCATATCTGCGAGAGCCATGGTGTTGTTACGCGGTTCGGGGTGAGTATCCCATTTATCTGTCTACGCGGGCGCCAAACTGACGTTGTACTGCAGAGCTTCCAAACCGAACTCGCTGGACTGGTCGGACCCGTCGTCGACCTCTGCGTCTCTCATCACGATCAACTGCGGAACAACGCCGTCCAGATGCTCTACAGCATGATCATCTCCCAATGGCACGCGCACGGCCACTTCTCAGCCATCGAGAACGAGCTCGTGTCCAAGCTGGACGGCTTATTCATGTCGGGCGCTAAAGGCGATGACGTCTCGCGCGCGTTCTTCATCACGCAACTGCGCCAACTGTTCGAGAGCAGTGCGGTGGACAAGCAGCTGCAGCTGAGGGTGGCGGAGTTCATGGATAGCGTGGATCAGTTCTTGGAGCTGTTGCTCAGTGTGCGGGCGTTGCCGGAGGGAGAGGAGTATGCGGATGACAGGGTCATTGCGACGTTGAGGTTGATGAACTTCATTCGGCGGATTGGGAGGAACGAGATGTACATCAAGTATGTGCATCAGCTGGTCAATGTGCGTGTCTCTTTGTTATTCTGGTGTGCGCCTGTGCTGACAAGAGAATGTTGTAGATGCACCTCCAGGCGCAGAACTACGTCGAGGCGGCTCTCACGCTCAAGCTTCATGCGGATCTGCACGAATGGGATCTCAACTCATTTGCCGAGCCTATGGAGGACCTTGGCTTGCCTCAGCAATCCCAGTTCCATCGCAAGGAGACCCTTCACCTGCTCATCCTAGACTACCTCGGTACGTCACACATACTTTCTGATGTGCCTGTCCTTCGCCGCTGACGTGCCCATCAAGGCAAGGGCAAAGCATGGGAGAGCGCGATCGAGATGTGCAAGGAACTCGCGTACCAGCACCAAGAGGTGACGTTCAACTAGTACGTAAAACCTCGTAGTCTGTCCGTTCTGTCCTGACCGTGGCATGCGTGTAGTGGGCGTTTGGCGGAGATCATGCGCCACCAGGCCAGTCTCCTGGAGCTCATCGTCACCGAGCAGAGGTACTACCCCGACTACTTCCGCGTCGCGTTCTATGGCAACTTCCCGACCGCTATCCGCAACAAGCAGTTCATCGTATGTGCTCGTATATCCTGCAGTGGTGCTTTTGGTTGACTGATCGCGTAGTACCGCGGTTTCGACTGGGAGAAGTTCGGCGCATTCTGCGAGCGTATGCTTGGGAAACACCCTGGTGCACGGCTGCTGCGTTCTGCGGGAGACCCTCCTGTCGACATTCGCTTCGGCGGAGACCAGTACATCCAGTGTGGTCCCGTCACGCCCGAGCCGGACCAAACCTTACCCATATTCACCAATCCGGACGTGCCCATCGCAGTTCGCACGTACTATGAGCACAGGTAAAGCTGACAATCTTGTGCATCATAATATGGTTCTGACGGTGTTTCCAGCGCGATCCGTCTCTTCAGCTCGTCGCATCCTGTCGTCAAGCTCGACCGCGAAGGCAACGAAGAATCTTGGATTGAGAAGACGTATTACACAACTGAAGAGAGCTTCCCAACTGTCTTGCGGCGTTCCGAGATCCTCTCTGCTGAGCTCATCGAGATCTCGCCTGTGGAGACGGCGTTACACGAAGTCGAACAGCGCAACAAGGAACTTGGCGCACTCAACATCCGCTACGCAGGTCTCGCGCGCACGGGTCAAATCGTCAGCACCAACCCGCTGAGCATGACGCTCAACAGCGTAGTCGATGCGCCTGCTAGCGGCGGCATCACCTCTTACCGCGACACCTTCCTCGCTCCTGATTACCTCGAGCGCTTCCCCGAGCGCGTGGAGCACGTTGAAAAGCTGCGCGATGCGATAGACACGCAAGTCCGGATCATCGATAGCTGTCTACGCTTGCATGGTCAGCTGTGCCCGCCCGAGATGCTTGGGTTCCATGATACGCTCGAGAAGTTCTTCCGCAAGAACTTCAGCGAGGAGATTCACCGGTTGACGTTCGACGGGCCAGCGGAGCAACATCCCGCTGTTACCGGTACGCGCTCGCGCAAGCCATCGGAAGCTTCGCCATATGCGGCAGCTTCTGCGCGCATGCAAAGCGACGCGATCAGTATCGCGCCAAGCGTTGCGACCACTCATCGAGGCGGTGGAGGCGGCGCACCCGCATTCCCTGTCCCGCCGTTGCCCTCGCGCGCGAGTGTCATCAGCAGCCCGAGCAGTCTTGGTACGATCGACGCTGGAACATACGGTACAGCCATGAGCAGCATGAGCTACGGCATCGTGGCGGGCTCCCGCTCCGATTCACTGGGCGCAGGCAGCAAGCAGACACCGCTTCAACGAGGACTCGCTCGGCTCACTCGGCATGGCATGAACGGCGTCGCTGGTGGCGCGGTCGGCGACGGCAGCGACGGCGCGAGTGTGGCCGAAAGCCCGAGCGATAGCTTCGTTAACGTGAGCCAGAGTACCGGCAGCGTGGCTGCTCACGGCGCCATTGGCAGCAGCGCGAGCATTGTCGGGAGTATCAGCGGGTCGATAAAAGGACGCTTCTCGAGGCTGGGCGCTATGAGCTTTGGGCGCGGATGAGCCGTAGGCGCCCGGCGCGCGGTACTAGTACAACTATCCCTGGATTATTCTCTTGGTTTCCGTCCTTCGTCTTCTCTTGATCGTGAATTTGCTACCCTGCTGTGCCCTACATACCATACTCCCCTACTCCCCATACCCCTCATCTCAACTCGATCTCAATCTGTGCAGTCCAATATATCCATCCTCCTACCTCCTGCTTCGTTCTTCTCTCCTTCTGTCTGTGACTCAAGCGCTTTCGTATTTAGCACCTATGTTTATTCTCATTACTCGCGCTTGCACTGGTCTATCCGTACTGAATATTTGAATCCATGATACGCTATCTGCGGTCTCGGCGCAGCGCCTGGAAGAGCCGATCGTAATTTACACCTCCGGACATACCGACCTATTGTGGATGTGGTGGCGAGCGGCACTATTGGCACGTACCCAGCTCGGAGAGCGGACCCCGAGGAGGCGCAGATCTCCCCTAGATCCCCGCGCCCGCACACAATGAAGGCGTGCCGAAGTGGACGATCGAGGAGCGATCGAGGTGAGACAGATCGCAAGCGCGCACAGTGATCGCGGCAGGGGCGCATCGACGGAAGAGGCAGTGACGACGTCAGACTAGCTCGAAAAGGCAATTGCGGGTTGCACGCGGCTACGAAGCGAAGGTACTCGAAAGGCTCTCAACAAGGTTGACACGTTGACAGACGGATGGGCGCTGTATGGAAGTTGTACTTGCTCAGAGTCTGCCTTACCTTGACAGGTGGCGTTGATTTGCCTTGAGAGCCAAAGCCTGGCTATGTCGTGCTATCGTGCGCATAGGATGCAAATGGCATAGTCCCCGTGCGGATGCAGGCGGGGTAAAGGTGGCTATATACACTATATCCGCTGTATACTACAAGATTTTCGGCAAGGTACAAAGTCCCAAAGTCCGAGGATGGATGAGTGCCGCGAGATGGGGGCCATGAATTCGTGACGATTGGATGATATAGACATAACAACAGGGGGAGGCGGGTTGAAGACTAGAAATGCACCAGAGGATTGTAATGTACAGCGCGAAGAGGCGCGATGATGACCAGTGAAGAGAGACCACTGAAGAAGACGAAGGAGGATGCAGTACAGACATAGGCGTACAAGGGCGTGAAGTTCGTAGATGGATACAGGTGCTTCACATCGTGTATTGCGTGGGCACCGTCCGCATGGGGTGACCGTACTCGAGCGAGCCAAAGGGGTACGCTCCGTCTACAGGTCCATGGTAAAGCGGCTGTGGCTGGGAGTATCCTGCGCTGAGCGCGCCTGGTGGAGTTGAGCGAAACGTGTAGTCGTGATCGCTGTCTGAACCGTGATTCGAGCCGTTGTCGTACTGAGTGGGCGTTGCGTGGTAAGTGGACCCGTACGACGAGGGCGCACCCAGCATGCTCGGTGCGGCGGAGTATAGCGACGCGTTAGGGTCGTGATAGGGTGGCGGCATACCGAGCCCCAGCGAGCCATTATCCGAGATGGTCATCATAGGCGACTCCGAACCATCATCGGCTTCATGGACAATAGACTGCGGGAGCGGCGGGTGAGCACGACCAAGCGCTTGGGGTACTCGCGCATACGCACGTATTTGGACATGATCTTGTCGATTGCGGGGGAAAGCGTCTCCCACGTGAAGACCTTGACATCCTTCTCGATGTTGCGCGGCTTGGGTGCCGGGAATTCCATGATCTGCGTGAAGAACGCCTCGAGGTTAGCCCGGTTCTTGGATATGGTCGTCGGATGGAAGCCTTCGAGGTTGCGCCTAATGCGGTTCTTCTCTTCGACCTTGAAGGTATCGTCGGCAAGGTGCGCTAGCAACTGGATGACATCGACAGACGTGTAGTACGTCGACTCTGCGCCAGCACGATAGATGCACGAGATGGTCATCCCACGCCCGGGGTCCTCTTCACTGTAGTCGTCCTGCCGGATCGCCTTGCCAGAGATGACCAGGCGGTTCCCGATAAGCTCGCAGTCAAACTGCACGAGGCGCCGGCCGAGCGAACGTTCCTCGTCGGTGAGGTTACGGCCGAGGTCGTCGATCGGTGTGGCGAAATCAATGACGACACGCTCTGCGGGGTCATCGTCGCCCGGCTCACGGCGGCGAAGAATACGACGAGGGCGGGCGTTGCCGTTATGGTAGGGTGGAGGTCCCCTAGCGTGGCTCGACGTGCTGGACATTGTGCTCGCGATAGACCCGCGGCGGTGGGCGGCGGCGGCATTGGCGGCGTGAGCCATACTTAGGGGTACACCGAGTTGTGCGGGGCTGCCAGATATGTTCGAAAAGTTGGACGAGATAGAAGATACACGAGAGCGGCTCTCGCGGTGAGGTGACGGGCCTGGCACTAGAGGAGATCAGCGCTGTGCTATAAGTGGAGGAGGGAGGAGGGAACCGACTTTGCGGGCCGGAAAGGTACTTGAAAGTGCCGAGGGTTTCCTGGTCCAGCACCTGATTGTCCTGGTTGACGGCCTGGACAGTCAGGGATACGAAGGGCGTAGGCGAGCGCGTGCTGTGCAGAGGTGGCATCTCGCCCTCGAGGCGCCAGATACCATCGTAACCCTCGTCATAGATCTCGGTGGCGACGGCGATGTTGCCGACGACAAGACGCAAGAATACGCGACTCTGCGTCTGAGCGACGCGGGTACGAACATGGAGGCGGGCGCCGGCGTCGCCCTCCTGAGGCGCAAAGTCTATGATCTGGAACATGGACATCAGAGCGCGCGATGAACACGGTGGACGTGGGTGAGAGCGGCGCGCTTCAGGCAGGGCGGGGTCTACAGCACTGAGACTCGGCTGCCATTTTAAACATATTGCGCGCGAGCGAGATGCGAGATTCTGCCTCCGCCCCCGACGCGCCCGATTCAACCAGTCCCTGTTTTGCAAATCAGGCCAAGCCCCGGCCTCCATCTTCACTCCCCTTTGCATCACTCTTTTCCGGCAACAAAGGAGATTCTTCGCGCAAAGAAGGCCCGTCATGAGCGGGCCTGTTTTATTCTCCTGCATTATCCACCGCATGCACAAGATGCTCAGGGTCCTCACGTCCATACGAGGCAGGTAACGCGTAACCGATTGGCGCGCAATTATGGCGTGGGACTTGTCCAGCCAGCGCACCGAGAATGCATTCTCGCCACTGCCTTTTCGAGCGGCGCACTGTTTCCTCCTCATCCCTTCGCGCATGTTCGTATCGTCCACTTCCTCAGCCGCTGCCGCCGGCCCCCATGCGGTTCGTCTTCATGAAGCAACTGATGGGAAGCGTCGTCTCCCGTAATCTGCCCCTCCTGCGTAAGGTCATCAAGGACGCGTCGGCCAGTCACAATGGCCAGCCCGCCCGGGACGGAAGCAAATCCAAACCGCGGCGCTGCGGGCTGTGGTGGGCCTTTCGAATTCGTAGCGGCCTCGGCCGCTGTCACGATAGGATTATATTCCCGCGTCAATTGTCGCCCGTATTTTCAAGCCCCGCGTTGATCTCACAATGAGCCGGGCTCTTTTCGCGGCCTCCTCTCCGGTTCCTCCTCTAATTTTTCTCGCTTTGCCTTCCTTCTGTGTACTCGTGCTCTGGTCCAGGTGGTTACCATGTACACAGATCGTATGGTCCATATACTCGTTCTGGAACCTGTGCTGCCTGCCGCGCGGGCGGGACTCGAGAGGAACCGCGTCAGGCGACCGGTTATTTACCTCCGCCTCGTCTGGTCAGGGAAGGCGGTAACGTATCAATAGAACCTTGCGTTCGAAGGAAAATTCTACGTGCGCATGCGATACGCCCGGTTGAGCGCAGAAAGACTTTGAGGCCCGATATGTCGAGCAGAGGGTTCTTGGTGCGTGCTCGGAAGTATAGCCTGTGTAGTTAGGAACGAATGTACGCTTTTTTGTTGCCTTCAGTAGCCCGCTCGAACCGGCGCAGCTCGCTCGAGCTTCGAAGGTTCTTCGTTCAACATCGGCACCGGTAAACACGTATTGCATCATTTGGTGTAGAATTCCGGGCATGAGCTATCGCTTCATACAAGTGACATGCCGCGCCTCCCATTTCCCTGTGCCGTCGCCATTGGGTTCGCGCCATATCCGCGCAACGGCGGGCATAAATCCCTCTTGGGAGAGCAAACGCTCGCATGCGACGCAAATCGTTGCAAACATGTCCTGATACGCGACGAGCATGTCCTGTCTTACCAAAGTCCGTTTATGCAGCCGGAGCAAGACACGACGGTGGTCCACCAGATCGAATAAAGCAGTGTGGCCCAGCATGAGCAGGAAAGAAGTACGGAACGATGTCAATGGAGATGGAAGGATGCAGTCATGGTCAGCCTCGGCGTTGATAGGCAATGAGAGATCGAGTGTGCTTACCGCTAGCACCCCCGGCGGCACGGTCGGTGCGGACTGGACCATGGAGATGATATGCTGAGACATCTTCTGGAAAACGATATAGGCCGATTGCGCGTGCGGCGGGACCTGCTCGGGGGTGTAAGACACCGCTGTGGACGGAGCTACCGAGGAACGCAGCACGCACCCGCTCTCGAGCGCCGAATGTGGCGACATGCGCGACTGTGAGTGTGCGGTCGCGTAACGGTTTGGAACTTCCATCTTCGGACGAGGGTGTGTCCAGAGTTATGTAGGCCGTAAGGACGTCCGGTAGTCGCACGCGCAGTGTGATAGGTGGTGTAGTGGCGGGTGGCTTGCTACCACTGGGGATGAAGATGCGCATCTGGGCCGCACGTCCATGTTTCGTATTGAAGTCGCGGACGAGCTGCGGTACGGTTGCTATGGTCGTGGGTGGTGGCGGAGGTGTTGGCATAGGGAATATACTCGGCGCATGCGGTGCAACGTATGGTTGAGGTGTTTCTGGAGTAATAGAGCGCCTGCAAATCATACTTCAACATATGGCTCTCGAGTTACTTTATCGAGTGGCGCTTACTTGCGTTTGCGAGACTCTCGCCTCAGACCTCCTTTGATTCCTGTCCTGTCCGCCTTCTCACTCGCCGCCGCGGCCGAAAGTGCGTCCTGGGCGTCTGTGCTTAGCAGAGCGTGGCGCAACTCCTGTATTTCGCCCAACGCGCTTCGCGTCTTCATGCCCAGAGTTCCAGTAATATCCCGAATGGCAAGTCCAGTGGGTGCAGCACGAACAGTGCGCAATCGGGTGGCAAGAGCCTGCAGTTGCTCGATCTGCGCCTCGAGCTTGGATGTGGTGCTCGGTGTCGGCTGTTTCTCCGCCTCCTTCTCTCCCGCCTTGACCTCAGTGTTGTTTACATTTGCAAGATCATTTGGACTAGTATCAGTCATTACAGTAGGCGCTGCAGGCGGAGCTGCAGGAGCAGGTGCGAGAGGTGCGGCAGACATGATGAGAACAGGATGTAAGTTAGAGTGAGACAGACGCGTCGCGCGTTGGCGGGACGCGCGCGCCCTTTTCCCGGAAAGGAAACCACGCGCCGGCGCCGCCGTTGTGGGCGCTTGATTCTCCGATCCCAACTCCGTCCGGCGCCTATCACCCAGCAGGCCCAGGATCGCACGCTTCTTTGGTATCCTCTCTCTCCATGCCCCGATGAGCTAACCAAGCTTGTAACGCGTATTTCTATGCAGACATCGAAGTCATTCCAGGCTTGATGCATGCATGTGACCCGTCGCGAAGTGGCGTCGAGCGAGTCGGGAGAAGCAGACGGAAGATACCCCTGCCCGATGCTCGCCAGCTCGTATAGCCCATTTTTTTCGACTCCGCTCCTTTCCCTTTCGTGCCCTCGCCGAGGTCCCTTGTCAGCGCCTCGGGCATCCCTGGACCCATCAACGGCCGACGATGATTCGAACTCAGCCGGTCGTGCGCCACAGCTAGTCCACGGGCCTTCTGCGCGATGGTCCATCGGTCTTCCCGCCAATCAGGGGTCGTGAGGGTGTGGGCAGAGAGAGAGCGGACCGTTCTAGATGTCGATAGACAGCAGGAGACGGACATGCGGGTCCGAGCGGAGTGTGAAGTGTGGACGTAGCAACTACAGACTGCGAGATGTAACTCTACAGTGTTTTCGGGAGGTCTTCCTAGAGGAACAACCAACCTTTTTTTTTTTTTTT